AAAACATTTACGTAAGGATTCTCCTCTGACAGGTGAAGCTTTGGCAAAACTCGAACCATTCCTTATGTTTCAAATTATGAAGGCAATTAGTGGCACACTGTGGATAAGCATAAAACCCAGAGTCTTGACATTCCACCAAGATATCATTAAAAAGCTATTGGCAGGAGATCTTGAAACACTGCTGCTACAGAATTCAGAAATAAGGGAAACTGATGGATGGCTCTGAGCCTGGTGATGTACTGTATATTTGTGCTCTGCAACCATCTGCCGTTTAGTTTAGTTTAGTTTAGTTTAGTTTAGTTTAGTTTAGTTTAGTTTATTTAGTTAAAAGGGACCATGTACAATTAGAACATAAATGTTTCCATTTAATGCATTGTACTAGAGTTACAACTCAGCCGTGAGTTCAAGCTGTGCATTAAATGTGCCACTGGTGAGTGTTTGTATTGTGAACAAAATTCACATGTGCAGATGGAAAGAAAACGAAAGTTGATCCGTTTCCATGTGCTGAAAAGATCAAACATTGCCAAGATTTGCAGAGTTAAAAAATGCACAGGGTAAGTTTGATTATGTGACAGGTCCATTTTGAAAATGGGTCAAATGCAGCCAAAATATTTTTACATGGACGATACTAAAGGGGCATCATGCCACTTTTCACCACAGTGGTCTGCAACCACAGGTTGCTTCAGGATAAATAGTTTGGAAGGTATTCTCTCCTGACGGACCTCCACACCAGAAAACATGATTGATCCTATGGCTTGTAAACAGGCAATGGTGTGACATTCTTGAGGTAATAAACACATATTTTCTCACAAAATGTAACCCTATTAAAAACAAAAACAATCAAAACATATAAAAAAACGAATGCAGTGATTACATTGAAAAGTGAGTTAATTGCATCAAATAAACATTTATGTTTATTGTGTAGAGGTGGTTTAGAAACTGCCTATAGCCAAATAACAAAATAGTGAAGTGTGGAGCAGAGGAGCTGGTTGAATAAATGAGTGAGAGCACATCTGTTCAAACATTCAGGTGGCACAGCCTTGTAAAATCCTGCTCCAATGAAGAATGCACGCACACTGGGTTTTATTCATACACACATTTATAATTGATACTCATAATACATGTCTCATATGGATCAGAGGCAGGCATTCGCTCTCAGGGTTTTTATCTGAACGTATGCATAAGTGTGTAAAGGGCTAAACACTGAAGCCCCTGGTGAGAAATGAGCTGAGCTTTAGATTAGGGACACCATGAAAGCAAAGGTTTTTAAAAAGTTTTTAAAAACGGAAAACAAAGTGAACTCTTCAAAGCGAATGTCAGTTAATTTCCAAACTGTGAAGAGAGAGTGAAACTTGCTGCTTCGACCAGCCCACACCCCTGCAGCTTCCTGATTGGTCAAGCTGATTTAAAATCCTTCATCTATCACTGACTCCTTTTGACGTGAAAAAGCAGCAGCTCTACTCTGAGCTCCTCCCATGTTACTGAGCTCCTCATCCTGCCCTATCCTAGAGCACACAGCTACTATGCAGATGAAACTAAACTGCTTGTGTCCCCAATCTCCTTCTTTTGGTTATTTCCAAAAGCTGATGACCATAGGACAGCAGTACTGTCCAGTACAGTTCTGCCGTTTGGCCCAGAAGTTGTCACAACATTGAGAGACTCTAACATAACCCCTTGAATTGCTATGCGGATTGCAAGCCCACCGGAGGGCGGGTCCTTTTGGACTCAGCCAGACTGGGCGCTGTGGGTAAAAGCCCGGTGCACCAGGCGCTTGCACACGAGCCCCAACCCCAGGCCTGTCTACAGGCTGGGGGCCTCCGCGCCTCCTGAGCTATAGGGGTACATCACGGCCCTTGATTACTATTCATGGTGGGTTTTTTGACAGCGTCTGTTTTCCTGTCCCAGGCAAGCACAGGAATTGAACGCGTATCATTTGTTGCTGAGAAGCAAGAGTGCTACCACTCAGCCACATGCCATCATTTGAAGGCTGTTTTTGATTTCGTCCCACATCTCAGTGCTTGAGTGGGCCATGAGCTATTGTGCCTGCATTTTGAAGCAAGAGGTTGTGGGAAGAGAAGACAGCGTGTATTTTTGTAACAATTTAGTATAAATTATTGATTGCAACCCATTAGATGTCTAAAAACAACAAAACAATACTAAACCCCCATTTGATCTTGTTGGTTGTTCTAGTTTTTTCTGATCCTTTTACATTTTTAGACAATAAAAATGTAAATACTAAATGAAATACTACAAAGGCCTCACCTCTGCAATGCCATAAGTCAGAAATTAATATTAGCACAAAAGTTTCTGCTTCATCTACCTGATTTGTGTCGACGAGATCTGGCTCTGAGTCACTGGAGCGGCTAATTGCCTGAATGTTAAAGCAACATTTCAGTAATTTTATATGAAAGGTAGACGAATGACTCTTATGCCAGCACAAAAGAAAACAACAAGATTTAGACACATAGAGATCCATTACTCTAATCATACACATAAGGCCAAAGAATAGTGCTGCATATAAGATTATAATCACAATGATAATAATAACAAAACCTATAACATTTTAGTTGAAAATGGACAAATGAAAACGACCAGTGTGACAGCTCTAAAGAGTTGTCTTGTGGTTAGACATTTCGCTTGCAATCGATATTTGTTCAAAAAATAAAACAGCTCAGATTATGGCAGCTGGAAATCTTGGCCCAAATGACTCTATTTTGAGAACACAAAGGCTCGGCTTGATAGCTTTCGTAAAGATTTTAGCCGTTCACTTTTTTGCAGAAGATGGACAGTGAGAGAAACGTGGTGCTCTGGGACAGATGTGTATGTGCTTTCTTCATGTGAACATTATTGGAATTTGGTATTTCAATTCAATTCAATTCAATGTATTCTTGTAAAGCCCTAAATCACAACAGTAGTTATCTCTGAGGACTTTACACAACCTTGAATTCGCCAACACAGATCAGAGAATCAAGTTCAAACACAAGAAACAAAACAGAAAACACATTGGTATTGGTCCATAAAAGGCAAATGACCAATGTCCATAAGTGTTAATAAGTGTCCATCCATTTTCTTCCCCTTAATCCATTTCTGGGTCGGGGGGTGGCAGTCACCAGTGATTTGTTCTCAGAATATTTTATTTAAGAGACTCATTCTGCCACAACCTGTATAATTTTAGGGGGGTGAATACATTTTATTTTACATAGCCAAGTTAGAAGATTAGAAGTCTCATTTCCCCATTTGAAATCCTAAGTTGCCATTGTTAAATGGATTCATTGAACAGCACTATCCACGTTGTTCTCTTGTTGTCCTCTAGAGGTCCTCGTAGGGTTCACCGCTGCCTCTCGCGCGCACGTGGCCCTCTCTGTTGCACTCGTTGGTTGTTTACATTCCTGAATGCGGAAGTGCAAACATGCGGTGAGTTTCTTTCCCTTTTGACCATTCAGCTTAAAAAAACCCATACATGACAAAGATCAACTTTGCCACCGGGTTATTGCAAGTGCACAGAATCACTTTTTGTGTGCGGTCATTGTCAGAGAGAGAAGCGTGTTGCTCTGTTACAACAGAACCAGTCCGTGTGTGTGGAGCAGGTGCACATAGCCTCAGCCTGCTCATGATGAGAATGCGTCCTTTTTTACGCCTTCAGCCGTGTCAAAGTTCACTTTTCCTGTTACGACTCGGTGAAAGTTTAACAATATCCATCCCATTGCATTGTGGCAGTCTTGAGAGAAAACAGAAAAGCGAGTCAAGACCTCCACTAAACAAAAGTAAGAATATATTCACAAAACAGTGCGATGTGCTTGTCTCTTTTGTGTTTTTAGAGGTAAGTAGTTGTTTTCGATGTCAAAAGGTCATGGTATTACTCAAGATAAAGACGTTTTTTGCCTTCCCCTGGAGGCACGGACATACAGACAAATGTGTTTTTATACTTGTATATTAAATTACATGTTGTTGTGGATTAGGGTGCTGGTAAAAAAAAAAAAACAGTATCTACACAAAACATGACTTCTATATGTTATTTTCATTTAAAGGCTATTCCAGTAACTTGTATGTCCAACCTGTGCTTGCTTAGTTGCTTTAGAACATTATTGAGTTACGATCAATGAATTGAACACAGTGTAACTCTCTGGGGCTGACATGTCTCATGCAAACAGAGGCAGATATCTCATACAGCAGTAAACAGTAGCCAAATGGGCATTTCTATGAGAAAAGCAATAGCATACCACTATCCAAATACAACAACCTTTTCAATTTTTTTTTGGCTTAGTGACACCATAAGGCTTTAATTATCTTCATTTTTTTTATACATTTGACCTAAACAAAGCTCAAGTGATGCCCCTGTAGAACAGCGTCATCGAGATGACTTGTTGCACGTTGGGTTTGATAAGTACTTTGTAAACACATTTTAATTTAACTTAATTTCAATTAATATAGTTAATAGTTACTTGAGTAAACCCTAAAACCCTAAAACCCATAAACCCTCTTCAGTATATTTATATCTATGGAAGGTAAAAAAAAAAAGAAATGCAATTAATCAATTAATTTGTCCCTGTCTAATTTACGACTCTATAACTTCTTTGCCAGACAATGTATTGATTTAGAAGATTATGTGTAAAGTTTGACTAATTGCAAGTAGGTGTCATGTAGTTGATCAACAAAATACTTGGTTGATCCCAGACAGACCCTGGTCAATTGATTAGTAGACTGAAAAGTAAGAATGGCGTACTCAATGCAAAATCAAATTAAAATATGAGTTAAAGTTTTTTTTGAACTAAGTCTTCTTATATTGGTGATTTTCTCTCCAACAACCAGAAATTAACAGCCTGAGTGTTGACCATTGTCCATGCTTTTATTTCAAGTTCAAAAACATAGTTTAGTTAAACTAACATTTAGTTCTCTTAATTTTTTTTGAAAGTGAAATCAAAAGTGCAGCAGTCAAAGCGTGTGGTCTTTTCCTAGGTGAGATTCGTGATTTAAAAGGAGGGCTCCCGTAGATCTGGGCCATGGATGAAGCATTGACGCCTTTGGACTGCTTGCTCCCCTCAGGTAATGTCTGTCAAACCATCATTCCTATTGTGCAAACAGGGAATACACAAACACACTCACGTACACAAACACACCACCATTCTGAAAATTCTCTGGTATAACAAAAGCACCAGCTACAGGACATTCCCACGAGACCCCGGCAGAACTGGGAAACAAAACTAGACGATGCACATTGGCTTCTATCAAAACACATTCGTACATACTTCACTGTCACACTTGTCTAGTCTTTTCCCCGTTCATTCTGACACAAAAAATGTCTTGGGGGAAATAAAACTCTAAAAATGAACTACTTTCAGAACAGCTCTTCAAAAACGTCTTTTATAAGTTGTTTTCAGACACTTTACATAAGCATTTGGAGGCACTAAATATACATTTTTACATAACGTAGCAAACGGTGACTAAAGATACGTAGGCTTTGTGTGTGGCGGAAACTATAAATGTTTTCATCCATCTCAAAGCTTTATGGAAGATTTCTCACCTGCATTATTTTAGTTTTACATATTTAATGTATAACAATAAATGTGCATAAAACGTGTCACTGCAAAGTATAATGCGATAATAAAATGTATGATGATAATATCTTTATTCGTTTGGTACTTTACAAAAACAATGTTTATAAAATGCAGCACATTCAGCTTAAAGCAGTAAGTCAACAGAAACAGTATCACAAGTCATTCAATTTCTAAATAAAAGAGAATATGGAGGAAATTAAAGCAGACATAATGAAAAAGACAAAACAATGTGGAACTGTTACATACATGTATACATGTTACATACATGTTACGCACATGTTACGCACATGTTACGTACATGTTACGCACATGTTACATACATGTTACGCACATGTTACGCACATGTTACGCACATGTTACGCACATGTTACGTACATGTTACGCACATGTTACGTACATGTTATGGCGTTAAATCATGTTGCGTACAAGTTACATACATGTTAAATACATGTTACATACATGTTATGTAAATGTTACATATAGGGATGTAAATCGGCGACCGTTTAACCGGTGGTTGACCGTCACAGCGTTAACCGGTCAAAGCTGTCGGTTAAAAAAGAGAAAAAGGGGAGAGGGGAGGTCTCTTAATAACGCTATTTTAAGCCCTATTTGCACGGTGTGACGAGCGGGTCTGTATCTAGCTGTGTGCGCCCATGTATTATAAACTCCGGGACGACTCTCACGCCGCACGAGCTACATATGCACACACGCACGCGCGCGCACACACACACACACACACACACACACACACACACACACTTTTCCCCTCTCCATACGTAACATCCACACGCATCATCTCTCCCCCTCTGTTACCGTCAAAGTTGCACACTGGCGCGGGTCAGAACTACATTGGAGCTTACATTTACACACACACACATATACACACACACATACATACACACATACATACACACACACATACCGGTCTGTCGCGCTCCTCTGTGTCACGGAGCCCAAAGGATTCGCGCAAATACACGGCTCCAGTCAAACCACATGGAACATGTTTGTGTTTATGGTCCTCGGGATCAGCTCCACACACATCACTTGTATTTAAACTTTTGTGAAGACTTGTGAGACGCGGCTCGTCACTCGCTGCTCTGACCATGTGGATGAGCCGTCGTTTGCTGCTAGAAAGTTTTGGTATTAACCCGCAGCACAGCAGAATGGGAAGATTAAAAAAGCAGTTCTCTGTGCGCAAAGGTGCCGGAGCTGTTGCGGGTTTGGGCGCCGCTGTCTCCGCTCTGATCCAGTAGAACGCAGAGCTGCACTTATGAAAAGTACGCGGCTCGAAATGGCTGTTATTTCAAAGAACGTGGACTATTTTAAACTACGCGGTTAACCGGTTTCAACCGGTTAATGAGGCTCGGTGGTCGGTCATGAAAATTCATAGTTAGATACAAGATCTCACCAGACATTTAAAGGAAGGTCATTTGATAAAAATGGGTTTTAAGAAATTATTTAAAAGATGTCCTGCGAGCCTACTTCGCAGTCTGAATATCAATAAATTACCTTCTTTTTTTCTCTTTGTTGTGTTACACACAGGGTTAGTGCTTGAAAATAAAAGAGGGAAACTGTAATTGTTCTGTGCGTATTTGTTTGACATTTGTGAGAATGTCTAAAGGAAAAAGGCAATGTTGTGATTTCCAGAGCTCGTACAGCGCACAGATCAATACGGCACAAAGGCCAGCATCAGTCGGAGACACTTCACTTCTGATTGGAGGTTGACAGCAGCTCTCGTCAAGTAGCTACTGCAGAAAATCTGAATTTCTGTGTGTTTTATCCACAGTAGAGGTCCCACTCTTATTCTGTTTTCGGTTCAAAATACATTTTCGGTTTATTTCGGTAGTTTTTTTTAAGTAGCATACAAATAATCTTTCTTTTTTCCAAAAGAAGTTTCCAGGACACCTGTAAATTGTCACTTGCGGGATATGCAGTGAAATTCTTTTTTCTAAGAGGATCCATATTTAAATAAGTGGTACTGTTACTGCTTACTCAAATACACCTTTTAGAACATGAAAAACATTCACTAATGTTGCAACAGGTGCTGTGTCGAAGGTCTTGGTGTGGGAATGTGAGCGCTCACTAATAGTTGTGCTTTGTAAGGTTGTTTTTAAGTAAAGTCAAACTTGCAGAAAATACTTATCTATACCCCAGACGGAGGATTTAAAAACAAGCCCTGGATATCTGGATGTTAAATCCCCAGTGTGCACAGTTGGCTTTTTAAATTCTATCATCTTAATTATGAATGTATTTTCCAGGAATGTGTGGACTGTTGACAAATTAGAGGAAAAAGCTACATGAGTAGTCGTTCTCAGGTCTAAGATAAGATAAGATTATTCGTGGAGAAATTTCAGTGTCATCGTTACACACGCATTACAGTGGAGACAGAAGGAAATAATAGCACTCAGATTGCACAAATCAAATAGTCTATTATTTAAGATAATAGACAATATAATCGAAATAAGATAAAGAATAAAATAAAATAAACTCTGAAAGTAGCTCAGTTGGTAGAGCATTGGCCTTAAGGCCTGAAGGTCGTGGGTTCAATTCCCACCTCGACACCGACTCCCACTGATGACTGCTGTCGTTGTGTCCTTGGGCAAGACACTTAACCCCACTTTGCCCAAAGCCCCAACTGAAAGATCAAGGCTATGCTCACACTCAGAGAGCAGCCGTCCTCCTGTGGACTCACCACCTGCAGAGGGTCAGTGAGGGGCTGGTGCTATGAGACTTGGGTGGCATCTCTGACTGCCACCCCCCTGACCCAGAAATGGATTGAAGGGTAGAAAATGGATGGATGGAACTCTGAAACTGTAATTGCACTTGGTTCAGGAGTATTTACAGATGTGCATATTGTTCTTAAGCAGCGGAGAATATGAGCAGAATAAACATCAGTAATAATATCAACAGGTAAAGTGACTAGTGAATGGCAGAAGTATCAGATGGATTTGTAATAATGCAGAAATTCTAACAATTTGTAAAGACTTCACGTCCATTTTCTTCCCAAATTGCCTCAAATTTGTGCGCAGCCTGTGACCCCCTGACTGAATTCAAGTGTTTGCCGTCTTTCTGCTGCTTGGCCTTTTAAACAGAGTCCCCAAGGTGACATTTCTTTGAGCATAAGGCCATTGCCGCTCCTCCACTACCTAATGCATGTGTTGTTCGCGGAGGTGAGAGAAGTGATGACGCAGGCTTGTTTTCGGAGTCACGGCTGGTTGGCTCTGTCTTTTGTTCAGTGTACACCTCCGGCCAATTAAGGGACAAGACTGACAAATCTCCTCCTCCTCCCCTGCTCCCTCGTTTTCATCCCTTTGTGTCAATTCCTTGTCCCCTTCTCCCCTTGCTTCTCTTTGACCACGCGCAGCTGGGTTTGACTTTCACATTAGAAGTGACCTTCCAGTGATGTGAACTTTTTAACAACACATCAAGCTTGCTGAAGCAACAAAGTCCCACCACGCGAGGCAATATTTTATGCACTTTTGGAGCCAAGCCTTCCCCCCCAACAAGATGCTCCACATATTACTTGGAGAATTGCATGCTGTTGCTTTTTTGGACACCTACCATATTTTTTGTGCGTCGCAACTGCTACAAGCCCATTTTAAATGTACCATGCTGATTAGACTTTTGCATAAACACAGTTTAGAAGAGCACATTGGAAGGGAATTATCAAGTGTTTTTAAAGTAGCATATGCCATTTTGACTTGCCAACATCTTTTAGAAATGGATTATCAATCATTCATAAGGATAGAGATAGGGAGCGATAAATCAGCATGAAATCAAATTGCTGTGTGCAGGCATAAGGAAAGCATCTCCGGCTTTAGTCTCTGGTCCATTAAGGCTTTTGTTGCTGCTGTGTTTTTTTTACTTTGCCAATGCTGAGTTTTCCATTATGTTTTTTTTTCCCCCCAACTCCCGCAGATAGAAAAATGACAATTCTAAAGTATTAGTCAGGGGATTTGCATTAGCAGTCGAGCAAAAAGAGAAAAGCTAAGAGCAAGATGGATGGGGGGTTGAAAGAGGGAGCGAAATAGATTTGTGAAATGATGCACCCTGGGACACGGGCTTGACAGTGAAGCATGGAGGTGCCGCTGACAGCAAAAACAAAAGGCGTGCAATCATGGGGGCTATAGGATGACAGGTTATTTTCCATGTCATTTTCAAAAGGGTTTTTGTGCTTTTGTTGTCCAGTGAGGCAGTTGCATGTGCCCAAGGTCAGTGTATTCAAATTAGTCTGGATGAGACCTTATTGATGCCAAAGCAAAAGGACTTGCAGAACCCGCAAAGTGAGGTTCATCAAATACACCGTTTTCAATTCTTTTCCACTTCCCATCAAAAGCGAGCATGCTACTATCATGGACAGACTGTGTGCCGTCTCACTATTCAACTATAATGATGTTTTCTTTGCTGTTTTTGCAGGTAATCAGAAGATTTGCCTGATCCTCCTCAACCAACCCATTGATAAGAACTACTTGGACATCCTGTGGAAAAAAGGTACACATATCAAAAGTTTCTATCTTGTGATCAAATTAGCTCCTCATTTATATAATTTACTTTTAAAGTAAGATGAGATTCAGTTCTCAGATGGCCTTAATTATGCGGCTAATCAACTTGTATTCTTTATATGTCTATTTTTGTCCATTCATTCAAAAGCCTGAATGATCTATAATAGACATGCGACACAAATTCAAAGACTTTTTTTCCTATTTCATTTCTGTTATTGATTTGATTTGTGATGTTTTTAGATTACGCATTCAACAGAGTAATTGCTGTGTGTCCAAAGTATAAGCGCGCTAAGTATAAACCTAAGAAATATCCTATTAGGTCCATTTCAGCCTGTCAAATTCTTTAAAATTTTCCATACATCCTTCAGTCGTAGGAAGCTTATAATTACAGCTGTCTGGGGCCAGGCCACATTCCATATTCATAGTGCAAATTGCTTTTAACTGTGACATTTTGTGTTGGTGAAAGCACACTTAGCAGCAGATAGCAGGTGCAGTCACTCCAGAAAGCCTCATTGAAGTGTCCTTTCGTTCACTGCAGATAATTGGTTGGTAAATAACATGCAGTTGAGGGAAGAGTCCACTCCTCGCAGCAGGGAAGTAATACGGGCGTTTAAAACTAAACAGTGGACATGAGGCCACCGCATGGACAGTGTGAGTGTCTCATGCAGACTATTGCCGTGGACTCTGACTATAGACATTCTCTCTTTTGCATTCATGAAGGCCTACATACTTGTATTTATTTATTTTAATAAAAATAGGTCACCTGAAAAGGTACTGAGATAAAACTACAGTCTGATGAAACAGCACAGATTTATGACTATGGGAAAACGTAAAAAATGGAAAGGAAACGGCCAAATGAAATGACCTTTTAGTATTATAGCCATAATCAAGCCAGATGAAAGTAAAGTTTTGTGAATACTTTATTACAGACACAAGGTCCAGATAAAAAAATCACAAATAAAAATAAAGATACTCAATTACTGCAGACTACTGTACCAGTGACGGCACAGTTCAGACTGATAGCGTGTGGCACTACAATTTTGGTTTTCCTACGATCCACAGGACGTTTGTTTAGTAATTTATTTGGTCACAATACAACATCTTTTGTTATTTGACAAAATGATGAACATTTTCCATTTGAATTTAAAAAAAAAAATTAAGAAAAAAATTACTTGGAGACAAATTTGTAAGATGGTGGTCACAGACCACATCTGTCAATGTGAGTTCAGGAATAAATGTTTCTGTACTGTGTGGAGTTTGTAGTTGTGTTTAGGCATAGCCAGGAAACAGCAATGGAAAAGGCCTTAATAAAACATAAAAAAACATTGTCATTATTAAAACATTATGCTTATTTCATTTTAGTTTGTACTGTTCATAATTATGCAATCTTTTGTTATTCTCATTGGGCTGTACCAAGTGAATTTGTTTTGAACCACACATAATCATACTCGGCCATACTTGCATGCGGAAGCCAGATCTCGATAGACCTCTGAAGCTGTGCAGGGCAGGGTCTGGTTAGTATGGTTAGTAATCGTTGGTGGTGGTTGGAGGGGCTGATGACACATACAGGTTGCCTCGCTACTGTCAGTGTGCCCAGGGATTGTTGTGGCTACAGTATTATCACCACCGTGTATGGAGTGTGAAGTGTCTTTGAGTGTCCTGAAAAGTGCTATATTAAACTGATGCATTATTATATTATTATTATTATAACATTCTGTGCAGATGTGTTATGAATCTGACTGTAATCTGTCCAGAATGAAATGGGTATCTATTTACTAGTATTTACACTCATATTAATGAAAATGTTCTCGAGTGCCAAAATATTCTCGAGTTGCTCCCACTGACCTTTCGGAATCCACAGAACTAACTGATTAATCAAAATAAAAAATTGGCCAAATAATCGATTATCAAATTAATTGTTAATTTTAGCTCTAATTCTCACATTCTTTTGAACCAGGAAATGAAAAAATGTGCTTTATGCTTTACTACAAGATATGAAAATGGGAAAAATCTGAAAAAATATCTTCCTAGAGCTTGAAGGTAAAGTCTAATTAAAAGCAGATCAAGTCAGATTTTAATGACAAAGCTCTGTGATTTTTTCTTATCACAACAAAGACTAGGAGGCACAGCAGCCACACATCCGGACACTTTTTCTTTCTTGTCTTGGAAATAGTCAAACTTCACACAATGCAATTATCCTATCTAAAAACACCAAGAGCTGTCTGCTGATCTGAGCTAAAACTTTGGCCGCCCAGCAGTGGGAGAGACAAAATGTGTGTGATTTTATTTACAAAAAACAACTCCCCTTAATACTTGTAATGGGTTTGCCAGCCCTTTGTGGATTGTACAAATTGCTATGAGTTTAATATCCGTATTTTTTTGTTAACCATGTACCTGCAACAGTAGTATCAACCCTTGGGGGCAATGCATGTTTTATTGATAAAGTGAAATCCATATCCCCTCAGTGTTTTCATGTAAAAGGGAAAAGGAACAGCGAAAATGCAGTGCCAGCATAGGATTGAGTTGCCCGGCCAAGCGTCTCCACTGCATGCAAGATAAACGGACGTTAGAAATGTAGTGTGACGCTTGGCTGAGGCCTGATACTGACAGATCCCTAGATTTTAAATAAGGAAACTTTGTAGAAAATAGGTTTCAGAGAGATTTTGAGAGATTTGCTGTGTCATAGCAAATTGTGTGTTGTGAATGTCTGAAATGGAGGAGCTTTGATGATTGGTTTGGCTCTTGGCTGTAATGCACACGAGACAGGAATAAAGTTTTGACAGGATGATGATAGCAAATGCATAGGAGATTTTTGATGAGATAAATAAGCTCTGGCTGGATACTTTTTCTGCACCTTGGCCTTACGAAGCCAATTCCAAGTGACACAACCAAAGTAACATAACATGGAGCTGCAGAGAGTGACTGAATAACACCCATTACTCAATTGACCTGGCAACAGACATGAAAATAAATAGTAACATTCATATTTAGTTCATTAGATATCATATTTGTGTATTCTATTGTGGCAGTTCTCTGCTCTGGGCCTAATTGACTATAAATGTGTGGTTTATGAGACAAAAACTGCTTGCATTTATTTATTAACTATAACTGAGTCCACTGTAGTGGCAGATGCTGCAAAAAATACTTTATAACCAAGGAAATACTAGTAAAAGAGATCAGCCCCCCACGGGAAGCAAGGTTGCTGGACACAAACAGGACAGAAGGAAGCCGCACGCCAAACAATGAATGAATGGATGTAAATATTAAATGGCAGTAAATAGTTGTATATTGAAGGTATTTATAGAGATGCTTGTAATTAGAAAATGAAGTGAGTGAGTATGAAAATAATTGATGAATCTCACAACCTCACCATCAATACGCACGGCCGGCCGCACATGTGCAGTGGATTGCAGAGTATGTTTATTTAGTCGGTTAGCGGCTAATCCCAGTTGTTTGACATTTCAACGAATAACAAAAAACAGGAGAAGACCAAAATAAAACTAAAGTGGCCCAGTGGAAAATGCATTTAAGTAACTGACATGTTAAAAAAAATAGAAGATAATATAATATAAATATAAAAAAGTCGGATTAAACTGTTTATTTACTCTCACCACTTTAGCGAACTGTCTTTATACTTTTTATTTCTCACCAGCTTGGGTAATGGTTAGTGCCACTATCAACCATGTGTCTCGGTGGAGAGTTAGTACTTTGCCTGAAACATTTCACTCTGGCATTTAATGTGTATCTTTCCCACAGAAAGTAAGTGTATCTTAGTTTAATGCCGCACGATTTCTGTCAAAGCATTAAGCTGACCCCATGGAGGTTGGTGCATTCTACCAACAATTTATTACCCACATTACAATCCACATGTGCCTATCCAGTATCCACGGCTTGCCTGTCAGTGTATTTTTAATCTTGTTTATGAGTTTAGCAGATGTCAGTGTAGCATCACCAGGGTGTTAGTGAGCACTCTCCCAGTCTCCAGATGCTTTCACCACCTGGAGACATAAGCCAGGACTCCACCCAGCCAGATTTCTACCCCAGCCTCTCCCACTACCCTTGGGCCCCCCTGATCACCTTTGGGAATGATGGGAGTGGGGGAGAGCAGAGGCAGGCAGCTCAGATCAAAGACTTTCACAGGTGTGCTGCACAAGCTGGCACCCACTTGCTCACGCTGTCAGCCCACGACGGGCTCAATCAACATCGCAGTCAATCAGCCATTTACTTACTTACATGCAACACAATCCGACAGTTCGATAAAGTAATCAACAATGGCTCCAAAGAGTCCACTGTTCCTTTCAAGTGCCAAGTCTCATCACACTGATCTGTAGCAGCTGCTAAAAATCAAGTTTGTGAACACTGCACATTAGCTAGTCAAGTGTCTGTCTACAATCAAGATCCGTGGGTTTGGAGGATTTGTTGTGCAATACGTTGAAGTGTGTGACAAATACAGCGGCATCAGGAAACTCACGCAGAGATGCGTGTTTTGTTTTCTGTAAGTAAGTCAATGGTATTAGTCTGCATGCCATTGCCAGAAACAGTCTTTGCATGCACATATCTAACCAGCCCTTATATTTGATGTTGGCTATTCTTAGTCTTGGGGATGTGATGCCCTTTCATTTTGTCTTTTAAATTAGCATTCAAATAGCAATATCATTTGTGCAAACTCCAGAGGTTTAAATGAACTTACATAGTGTAGTTTGCTTGAAATCTTCCCACAGGTCAGAAGTAATATTTGTTCTGGTTCCAAGCTGCAAAATATAGTGCAGAGGTCCTTTTGTCGTTTCAAATAGAAATGAGGTGTACAATAGCAATGACTCTTAATGAGATAACTGTAGTAGCCTCAGATATGACCTTTATGCTGTATTATGAGGTGACTCCAACTCTACACTTCTCTGCTTTACGCTGTAATAATGTACTTGACTTGAATTACGGAATAAACAAATGACACTGGTTAGATCCGCTCATTCTCACCCCCATTGTTTCCTGATTGGGTGAAAATGTAGGAATGCATGATGATATGATTCAATAATAAAATAAGAGCTAAACAAATTTAAGAAAATAAAACCGAATCTATGAAAAACACAGAGACCAACATTGCTTGCGGAAGAGCGCAGGGAACATATAGACACACATAGACACAGGTGAAACACAGACAGCGGTGCAGACAATCAATGGGGGAACCTGACAAAACCTGGCAGAGGAGAGAACCTGACAGAAAAACATCATAAAACACAAGAAAACTAATATATGTCAATGTCAAAATAAAACAAAAAAATAGTCCAGACCAAGACAAATTCTTGATACACAAACAAGGGCCCTCCAGCAAATCTCACTGGCAGTGGTTATGCCAAGGTTTTAGACAAATTATTTGCTTTACTACATGGTCATAATTATGGTCAAAAATATCAATTCTATTACAAATTAAATACAGTTGAAGTTACTGTTAAAGAATATAATTGCTTAAATGCCCACATAAGGTTAAACGTTAAACTGATCAAGATAATCCTATATAGACCGGAATGGAATCAGCCCTCAGCATCAGCCAAGGCAGCAGAATCCAGTGAGTTCCCCACGGGCAGGCATTGACTTATGGATGGAGACCCAGAGGTGCAGTAATAAATGGAAGGGGAAGCTATGGAGGCATCATCATAACAAGGCTAATATCATTTCATTGCTCCCTTTGACCGGTTGACCTCTGCTTCGATAGCGCACTGGTATGACGGGTATTAATGCAGTCTCCCAAAACAACCAATTCGGATCCAGTATTTACACTCACGCAGCGAAGATTATTAAAAATCAGATGCGATATGACAGGTTCAGAGCTGGCTCACTCTAGTGGATGTATCTGTCATGGTGGAGTGAGAGACAGGACAAGTGGGTAGCGGCGCCCGCGGGGAAGGATTATGATGGAGGGTTTATTTACAAGGTCATCTCCTCTGACTGCAGCTGCTGTCCCCGCTCGCCTCCTGTCAAATCACACTGTCACCAGCTGTAAGACACCTCTCCATATATTTATGTCTTTTTCAAGTGTAAGATTTACCTGGACTGCTGTGCTGGAGGCGGTGAAACAATATGATCTACCCTTTCGAATTTTTGAGAGAAAATATTTAAGACTTCACAATGCAGGTGAAACTCGTAAAATAAGAATAATACGACCTAAGCTAAATTTATGTCATCCACTTATTGCATGCAACGTGATATTTGTTATCGTTGTATGATTATACCTTGCCGCCCTTATCTTTGTGGATTTATTTGTGGTTTTTACACACTGTGACCCAATTATCAGCATTGTATTACAAATAAAGGCTTGATCTCGTCATATATTCATTCACATTGTTACGTTTCTGGGCTCATGTGGAGGCAACAACAATGAGGAGAGACAATTTATTTATTTATTTATTTATTTGATCGGGACAACACACATTAATGAACAATCATATACAAGTTGTACACAAATTGTAAATGTGCCAGATTGTAGCAAAACTGCTAATTTACATCCGTAGTCCCGAGGCAGGTCACACAACAATAAAAATACAAAAGGACAATATACAATTATAGAAATTACAGTTAGTTAAAATGAGTGCAGGACTGATTTACTTTAAAATTGTGTTTTAGTTGATTTTTAAAAGAGCTATATGTTGGGCAGAATGGTTTTACGGCTCTGAGGCCTTTTTGTTTGTTAATGTTCTAGGATTCTCTGTGTTTCAAGTGTGCGAGTGAGTATCAGTATAGATAACCTTTTGTGTAACATGTGCAAATTATGTAGAGGTAGCGGTTGGTTAGCAGCGTGGCTAAAGAGGTCTGCCCATTAGCCACGCTGCAACACCAATACTGGAACAGAGAAGGTTAAAACACCAAGAGAGAAGGAAATATATATTCTAATTTTCGGAGTTTCACCTGTAATGTAACAAGTCTTTGTCGTGATGGTCTCAAGGGGAAACGAGCTTATGAACTAATTTGATGTGAATAATTAGGTCATGACAAATGCGTGAGAAAGTGAGACATAAGTATGAACAGCTGCAAATTGTTTAAAAAAAACTAATTCAGTCTTCAAAGATTTATCCGCCTGATTGCCTGATTAAAAAGCTGAAATGGCACAATGCCAATTTGGTCTAATTATACAGTATTTGCAGATATTCTTCAAATATTGGCGGAAAATATTATTCAACAAGCATATGAGATTCCAGTTTGGGTTTGTATTTCCTCTAAAAAGTGATGCGGTAGTCTATCTGATAAGGCATCCCAGAATTACATCAACTATCCTTTTTATTGGTTCTCCTCTATCCAAACAAGGCTCACAGTGAGACTGACAGACCAAAGTTACCCATTCCTGCTTCCTGGATAGTTTTGTTTTTGCTTTTGTTCAGGCTCCAATCATCACGGATATTTCCTCTGTCGGTCTTTGCAAATCTTAAAGAGGAGTTTGAGCCTGTGTGGAGAAGTTTCCCTGTGAAAACTTTGTCGGCGTTTGCACAGAGGCAGGAGATAATGAGTCATTTACATTCTAATCATCTCCAGACGTACAACCCCGACAGCAGGTGGTGTAGCTGCTGAATACCAGAGCGCCTGCTATAAGTGTTTTATTTACATCCTTCCTTCGTGCCATGACATTTTAAGTGTTCGCCGATGGGCACACGAAGGGAAATGTCCCGTTTTATTTAACTGCGCGATTTTCTCAGGTGTTCAAATGTAAGGTCGGGTGAGATTTAGGTCAGTGATTTTTTTTTTTTTATGTGTTGTTCGTAAATAGTAGTCTTTCTCCAAAATGAGATGCTATGTCTCAAGGGGCTTTCCCTAAATAAAATCAAATGGTGCACATTATCATTTTTGCTGATTCTCCCATTTTTTTCAATGCACAACAAATCACAAAAGGCTAGCATAAGTAAACATTTCATTGCACATTTTTTGTTTATTAAATCATTGATATATGTTATATTGATCACCAATAGTTAATTTCTATGGAAGAATTTACTTTCTGGAAGGCAGTTTGTGTCTGCAGTTATGACAACTTTAAGAAATCCTAAAAGTACATTGAGCCAGACTTTGCCCCTTCTGCAAATGAATGCTGTTCAGAGATAACTTTTCAAATGTGCTTCACACACTAAAGCTGGTGGTCACAGCATGTGTTTTATGTGAAATAAACATCCTTTCTTTCAGATGTAAAAAAACAAATTCAAATTCTCTAGAAACCCAGATTGAGACGTCTTGGGGAAGTGTTTCTTGTCTGTTTTGTAAAAAACCTTGGTTGCTTTATAGAGAGAATCATGCAGTTTGTTTTTTGAAGTCGTCTCCCTTTGCACCTCGCTGAAAAGAGCTCTTAAAATAAGCTGCTGTCTCAATTTGAATAGAATAGAGGCCGTAAAAGTGCATATATTAGCAAATAGTTTGCATCTAATTTGGTAGAAAACTTGAACTGTTTGATGCATGCCGACTAATTGCTTTGTTGTCTTTGGCCTCTTAAAGTTAAGAAAAGTGCCCTTTTATTTTTCCTTTGTCACATTCTACTTCAAAAAGGGGAAAAAATCTAACCCTGAAGTTCAATTATTGATCTCCAGCAACAGGGTACAGAAGCATTTGTACAAATGAATTTCTTAATGAATATGGCTTAAAATGGAGCAGTGGAAGGCAGTGGATAGACGTTGGAAGGCTGTCCAGGGTGAGATTTGGCATTTTGTGTCTGCAGCGTAGTTCTGTGAGAACTATTTGAAAGGGGCAGTGACATGGTGTTATTTAGATATGAGGAGAAAATTACACCTGTCGTAGCCATACCTGCATATGCCAGATTAAGGTTCACTAAAATGGATGAAAACAAGAATAACGGTTGTAGCCAAAGCAGTGTTCTATCAATTCAAATATATTCCAATGTGTCATAATGTGAAATTTCACTTTCAGCTCTGTTAAAGGCTTGTGCTGATGGAGCTGCCAACCATCTCCACAACATCACTGCTGGATGCCGCGACAGGTGTGTACACTCTGTAATTGTTTGTGGAATTAAAGTATGTTGTAGAAATAGACATTGATTTCTCAATTGGACATGATAGAAAACCTACTCTCTAATTATTATGCCAAAATACAATATTATTTGGAGAGTATTTTACATTTTAATTTACTTGATTGTATGCAAATGCAAAAGTGTAATTTAATTTTGGCCACAAGAATACGAGGTGGTGGGTCTTTATTACTTGTACTACATTCTGCCACAATCCTAGAATGAGTTATAACAAATGCAATATTTATGTGCTGTGTCAAGCTTAAACTTTGCTTTTTGGAAATTACTGTATAGAAATACTGCAAATATTTTTAAAATTGACCAATATATATATTTTTATCTGAACACATTGGGCAGCACAGTGACAAAGCAGTTAGCGCTTGTGCTTCACAGCAGGAGGTCCTGGGTTCGATTCCACCTCCAGGCCTCATCATAATCCACATTGTCCCACCACCATTTTTGGAGTGAAAGAATGTCCTGTGAAGCGCCTTTAGGTGTCATGAAAAGCACTATACGAGTAGTAGGCATTCTTCTATTAAAGACATATCACTAAAAGTGTAAATGTCACAGGTTAAAATAGTCTGTTGAGGGGGTGTGATCAATAAAAAAGCAGAAGGGGATAAAAAGGGGATAAAATGTAATAAAATATATACAAAAAGGATCGATAAAAGATAATTAAAAACAACCCGCAGTCCACTCGTTCTTCCTCCTCTGGCCTCTGCTCTTCTCAGTCCCGGGACCGGGCCGCAGTCCCGCCAGCCCTCCCCGCTGGCCTCAGTGCCCCGTGGTCTCTGGCTGGCGGTGCTCGTCCTTGGCCCGGTCCCGTGTCCTCCTCCTTTGGACTGGCTCTGCTCTGCTCTCTTCCTCTCTCTGTCCTCTCGTCCTGCAGTGCCCGCCCCCAATTAAAAGGTCTTGATTAAAACAGGTGTGGGTTAGGGGAAGTGTCCAGGGAACAGTGATAAAATGCATGCATTAAAACCATAAAACACACAAAACACATCACAAAAATAAAAGCAGTTAAAAGTCTTTTAAAAGTCCACTTTCCCACATAAACAAAAGTTGTTTTTTTCCCTTTACTTAATTATGTTTGTATTTCGTTTTAATTTAAGTAGATACACTGGTTTATCTGAAATAACAACCAAATTCAAAGTCTCTGTAGAAATGTACAGTCGTGCGATGACAAGTACCTCACTCGATAGTGGGGACATGAAATATATATGTGTTTGTGACATCAAAGACGTCTCTAATGATCACGGAGGACTCTACCTTCTCTGCCAACAGTTGTCTACAGAATAATAATGATCGTTCTTGTGCTTTTCTCAGGATCCGTGATTTTCATAGATAGTGAAACGATAGCTCAGGGTGAAACGAGCTGTCAGTCAGGGGCCTGATATAGAGACACAAGTCCAGTATAACGAAAGTATTGCATTTAAAACTGGAGACAGCCCATGTGAGCTGTCTCCAGTAGCACACTGCAGCTGAAATTAATTTTTAGTACATTTTCTAATAAACTTCAGTGTTCATTAAAATGACTCGTCCTTCTGTGACAGGGAACCTACAGCATTCACAAAGGGTGATATCACTGCAAATGGCAAATCATCTGAATCATGAATCCTAAACTTGAATCGCTTTTTATAAATCCATACTTTTGTGCAACAAACTAGGTTCGCTCTCGTTCCACTCTCATCAGCTGCGAACTGATTGGTCAGAACGCTCTGGTTCTGCAGAGGTAGAACCACTGTGCAAGACCGGTAGAGCCAGAGCTGGCCAAAATGCGCCACTTCTGCTATTGTTTGGGACGGCCATGGCGTGAGCCAATGAGCACAACCCATCGATTTGAATGGGCAGACATCCTGGGACCACAGAGTTTGATTTTGTCCCGCAGTGTAGGGTCATTCCAAATCCACTTTCAGTTCACATGACATGTTTAACTAATAATGTTACACTGTTACTTTAAAATGGAACTATTAAGGTAGTGTTTAGAACTAAGTTACAGTCAACACAGGTTTTGATCTGATACATTTTGTCTGTGATTGATGGCCCACATATCTCTCCACTCCCTTTCCTTCCTGCTTCCCCCTTTATCCCATTAGTTATGTTAATGTTAGATTAAACACATCTTAACTGTCGAGTGATTGATTCACTCGTCTCCACCTCTAAACATGCTCCTTTGTCCTATGTTCTCTGCGTCTCACACGATGTACCTTTTGAGAAGAAAAGAAGATAAAAGTCTGAGCTGTCAATGTCACTGTGAAAGCAGCTGACGATGCGTTAGACAAGGGTCACAAAGACCGTTAGAGGAATGGCTGACTATCTTTTACACATTGTCGATTTAATAGTTTTATCTTGCATAGTACTCTAAAAAGTATTGTTAATGATCACTATAAAGTTTTGTTTCAAATCAAATATAAGTATGAACACTGCCAATATATATGTTTGTATTTCTTTTGTCTGGGCAGGATTGCAAATGTCATATTGAGGACCAAATCACATGAATCTTTTCATTGTATCAAGTAATTTCAAAATTACCAGCTTTATACAATTCTTTCTGGACATGCATTTTGTCAAGTTACTCTTTGAGTCAGTAGTTTTACAGGAAAAAAAGTCAGTCCCAAAAACCATCTTGACCGTTTCAAGAGAGTTGCCCTGATCACTTCTTTCGAAAATTAATGAGGATAATAACGTTTCCGGTCAGCCTCCCAAGCCTCTGCTCTGAGGCGAGTGGGTGGACTGCCTCCCACAGTTAAAAGAAAAGTACCATGTAATTTTCTGTCAAAACAGCCTTAATGGCAGTCATTAGAGCTTAGGAGGCACTTGCGTCACACTGCTTTCTTCTTTATGAGTCAAATGACAATTGATGGCACCTCACTCGACAAGGATGAATACAGAAACCGCTTATTTGGCAAGGAACCTATATATGTAATTATACTGGTTTAGGATATATACACACTTTTAACTATACAATAACATAACATACGCCGCCTTTTTATTCTAAATTAATTATCATACATTGTGCAAAATAGTATGATTAGTAAGTAAGTATGCAAGCAAGCAATATTTTATTTATTAGCTTATTTGCTCAATTAACTACAATTTCCTTGCTCAATAAAACTGTGCGTCACCAAGTAAATGACTTGTTTTGGACCACCAAAGTAAGGCAAACTCTAATCAAAATGTCATATTGTCCTAGACCAATTTTGAGTTTTTTTGCCCGATCTTTCTAACCCAAACCATTTCACTGTTCTAACTTAATTTCCTGCACTCTGTAGTGCAAAAAGTCCCAAATTATTTTTATTTGATGGAGATGAGCTATAAAAATGAGATAACGAGATGCTATAAGTGTATCCATTATTTTCAAAAAATATATTGCACTAAAATGTTTTCATCAATTTAAGTCAGTAATGTGGAATTTTGCCTCAACTTCTAAATATCTAATATTAGTTCATAAAATCCATGTCTAAGTGATACAATATTTTTAGATTAATTGTCCACTCTGGCTGAAAAATATTGAGTGTAGCAGCCTTAGATGACAACACAGGAATACTTTAACAAAAAGAGTGCAAGTTTTCGTCCATCTTTCCTCCTCTCTGTAAGCTAGTTTCGATGCTACTCTCAAGAGACTGTAATCTCATTTGCGGAAGCCGGACCCTAGGTTTCTCTGCATCTCTAGCTTGGTATCTGCCACGTTGCTAAATGAATATTGCATTTTCTCTAATTTGTGCGTCTGCTCAAATCCACAGAGGGGGATATAAGTCAAGAGAGGGGTAAAAAGTGCGAGCCAGCGGCAGGAGGTGGGAAGGAGTAATTGCGGCAAGGCTACTATTATGAAATTAGCTGCTAAGTGTGAGTCTGTGGATGTGTTTGGTTACAGGATATCATGAATTGTAATGGTGCCAGTAATGATATGTGATGGATGACCTGTTGATTATGGGTCATTTGAGTTTAATCTCACAAGCTGTGTCTAAAATGACTGCTTGGGCTCCACAATGCAATTACTGCCAGTTCAAAAGTCTCACCTCACAGTGGAATCAAAGTTTGGCAAATAAAGAGCTTTACAGGGCTAATTAAAATGGGCAGTGCACATAGTAGCTACATTAGGCTCCTAAAGTTTCTCATTAGTGCTGAGTTATGCCTTTTTCTTCCTTAATTGCTCTGGGCGCTCCTCAAAAATACAGTTTCAAACTTTTATCTGGAGGTTCATCATTATCATGTCCAGTATTTTTAATAAACTGACAACGCTGTGGGCTGACCGACTCTGGACCGATATAAAAATAAAAGATGAAGGGGAGAGGTTTTGGAATAAGTCCACATGTATATTCATTTTTACATAGCTGATAAAAATGTGCTTTGCTTTAAAAAATAAATGAATAGATACAGCAACGATTTTTGGAAAAGAGTTCGATGAAGTGCAAAACGTCTGAATGGTATATCGTATTGTTTTTTAATATTTTGAATTGCATTGAATTTCAGTTCCTTGTATCTAGATACATTATTGTCATGCGTTTTGAGGAACAGCAGTCTCTGAAATATACCCAGACCTAACGTTGATGGTCCCAGAGTGGTTTAAAAACATAAAATGGCAAGTCTAATTTAAATCTCAATGTTTGTAATAAAATTAGCAAGTAGATATTTTGCCAAAATGGTGCATCCCTTGTGAATGGTCATTATTATTACCTCTGCTTTTACTCTACAACTGAAAGAATTAAGATGATGAACCTGTTCTGGTCACTGAGTTGACTATTACATAAAACTTTTAGCACCGCCATTACTTTTTTCCTATTGGATATGTTGCAATTAAGGATGATTATAATTACTCCAATATTTCTCTTCTCTCTCTTCCAGCTCATCCATTGTAGAATTTTTAATACACGCTTTGGAGTGCACTGGTGTGATATTAGTCCTTCTACCTGCAGCCATCTAAGTGATTACCTTTGAGACTTTCTGTTACACAAATGTCCTTATTGTGTGTGTGTGTATGTGTGTCTGTGGGCATGTTAAAACACATTATTCCATCAGCATTCACAGTGCAGCACAGCCAGGGCTATCTCATTAGCATCTGTGTGCCAGCGGGATCATAATCGCTTTGTTAGCCACGAGTGCTTGGCTACCTGTGCGGCACAACTTTTATCATGGCCTCAATTAAACAGCCACTAACAAAGCCAAGGTTAGCTGTGGACAAACAAGTCCTAATATCAAGCATACAGTGAGTCATGTTGGTATGACCAGTACATGTTAGTGAGGGGAAAGGGTGTTACTAAAGCGAAAGAGAAGATACTAAACTGAACATGCAAACCTCATTGACGCTAAAAGAAAATAAGTTGGTGAGACTTGTTTTCAGACTACATAGGAACATTGAGAAAAAAACTATTTTAAATTGTAATGTACATTTTCTATTATACCTTAAACATCTTGAAAATTACATCAGCTGTACCCAAAGGGCGGGAGTAAAATATCACACTCTATTTTGATTGATCATTTGCTCAAATAACAGATTCATGATTTGATTAGGATAAACTGTTTTCGTCATGTGGTAATTTTAAGGAATTATTGGTAGATTTGATGTATAACCAACCTTACGGGGAGCCGTGAAGTGCCTCTGAGGACACGTGGAGGAACTGGACTCCACTTTGGGAAACACTGCATTACTACATTAATATTTTATGAAAGTCATCAATGTTATTTTTAAGCAAGAGTAAATGTATTCAAAGTGGTTCAAGACACAGTCAATGCAGTGATGTAAATTACAGTGTTTGCAGGGCTGAGTGGAGGACTTGTTTTAAAGACTGATTGTACTTTGTATTTTTTTATCTACCACATATAGCGTTGAGAAATGCAGCTGTTTATGAAGTATTGGAGAGCGCGGTCGACAACTCACAATCACCGCTGTTTCTCCCTGATGAAAAGCCGTAGAGGAGGAGTGTGTCCTTAATGGCGTCGCACGAGATGAAACGTTGAAAGCTGTAAACAAACATAAACAATGCATTATTTCACTTTAATTAAAACACTATGGATGGTCTGACGTCAATGCAGAGAAATCCATCTTAGACCAGTTGTTTTTAGGAGCGCTAATTGTGCGGGAAGGTAAGCACTTTGCAAACTAAATGGAAGTAGATTGGAGGAGAGTGATTGAAGCAAGCACAGGAGGGAGAGGTGCAGATTGGCGTGGAGAGACGAGCAGATTCGGAGCACAAGCTATAACAGGAGCTCACACAAACACTATAGCAAACAGGTCACAACACCATCCGCGCCGTCACTGCACCCGGCACTCAGACAAACTGCTGGTAAAATGCTCTATTTCCCATCTAAATTAAAGTGTCAGTTAATATTAATGTGCAAGTGAGGAGTGTCGGGGCCGGCGCACACACTAGCGAGGATACACAAATGCACATGCAAAGAGCGTTTAGGCCCGGCGAGCGAGGACACAGACAGAGAATTGCCAACGACGCCCGGTCAATTACCGGGCGCCGATTGAGTCGCGCACACAGGTCACAGGGCCAGAGGGTGTCTAAGCCTGTCACATGAAGGTGGTGTCGGAATGAAAGAGAAACAGTTTGTGCCTTCAGCTGATTGTGGGAATTGGTTTGGAAGAGTCACAGTTTGAAAGTTTGGGAGTAATCCTTATCCCAGACTTGTTTTCCCATGAAAGTTGTAGCTTTTGTTTGTTTTCCGAAGTGCAAGGGAGCAGTGGATTAAGAAGTTTTATGCTGCAGAAGAAGTGACAGTGTTTTGTGTTGATTTAAAGTTGGAATACTGGAAAATCTGATGTATGTGATGAATTGTATTTGCATTTAGGCAGATGGCATGTGGTAGCGGTGCACTTGGAGAAGACTATTGTATATTGCATCAGTTAGCTTCCTCAGTGGCTCATTTGTTGGGGTCAGTGAATTAACATGCTGTAAACATGTATAATTGTTGCCACTGGCTATTTTTGATCCATTTTATACATTTGCCCTCTTATCCCCAGTGTTTATTAACACTGGAGACAATGGGGAAAATACGTCTTGCCCAAAGACACAAACACGGTGTGTATTAATAAAGCCGCTGCTGCGTGTGCCAAGACCAGTTTTGCCACCAAGATTAGAACTTGGGCTTTCGAGAGGTTGTATCAACATATGCAAATAACCTCAAACAAGATATATTTATGATTATAAACAGAAGAAATTATTATGATATTTCTACAGTTGATGCTGAGAAACATGAATCCAGTTACACTACACACTGTATGAAAACATAACAATATTTAAGGCCTCACTAAATAATAATTTCAAATCACAATTCAACAAAGAAAACAGTCTCAGCAGGATGTCTACCAGAAAGGTTGTATCCAAGATAACCTTTACATTTCCGGTTGTTTATTTTCTCCAAGCCTCTTTTGTGTTCAGGAATGTGATTGTTTAGCTTCCATTGATCTACTGTTAGTATTTTGTATTTCACTGTTTTAAATGCTGATCTGGAAGGCGAGCAGGAGAAACCAGGGAATAATCCGTCGGTATCGCCGTCTTCAACCGACCGGAACATCACTTCTTGCTCGGAAAACATACAAATGTACACAACACACACACACTTCGTCTCTCTCTCACCCTCACTCCCACACTCAACACAATGCTACAAAACGCACAAACAAACGCACAAAAGCACCCAACCATGAAATCGTAATGTCAGCTGTTAATGCCTTGAGATAGCTGCAGCCCCTTGTCCCGGTGTGGTCATCTTCAACACAGCCGCACACACAGGGATCAACAGCAGGCAATCTGTGGGTCCTAGTGCAAGATTTGAGCTGTATTTGCATATTCATTGAAATTCAGGAGCAGCCTGAATCTGAAGCCACTTTAAATTTACAGTTATAACTTCATTAACTTGTATTTAAATGCCATTCAATATTCTCATTATGTATGGTTATTTCTAATTAAGTCATCTTGTAGTGAATCAATTTATAGATTTTAGATGTAACCTCCTGGTTTCTGTGGCAAAAGTATAAAAAAGGATTTACAATAAAAGGAAATGATGCTATGCCCACCCACACATAAAATGGACCTCCCACTATCTAGTGCAAGCAATATACATTTTGTGCATTGAAAATATTACACAAGTGACAACAACAACAAACTCAAAGTCTGCTCAAGTAGACCTTGACAAACACATGTACAGTATGTATTATTATAGCAGCGGCTCTCTTGTAAAAGCAGCCACCCTCACAATGAACACCTAAGTGCACCATCTCATTACACCTCTAATGTGTAATTGTGTCCCAGTACCTAACCTGTACATGTAACAAAACAAATACTTATTCATCCAACAGCACCTCATGTTTACTGAGATAATGAATGGGTCAATATTGCGAGGTTTGTTTAGTTAGGATGGAAAATGAAATTTTTATAATCATTAAAATAGGGCAAATACACTTCCTGAGTCTGTTTTCTTGTGTGTGTTTTCCTGCTACAGCATCATTTCAGTGAGATTGCAATTTAAAATAGCTGTTAAAAATACAGTGTGTATACACCGGCTGCCTGCTGTTCCTTGGCTCCCTGCTGTTTACCAGTGAGGGAAGGAGCGTGAGATTGACAGACGGATCGGTGCAGCGTGTGCAGTGATTCGGTCACTGTATCGGCCTGTTGTAGGAGTCAAAAGGCAAACTTCTCTTTATACTGGTTTTAATTTGTTCCCATGATGATGGGAATGATAAGATCTTACAAGTGATACAAATTGTCATAATTATTTTCCTCCGCAAAGTAAGGAATCCACTCTGATTGGAGGAGCTTGGAGTATAGCCGCTACTCCAAGCTGCTATACACATGTATGTATTATTACATGTGGATAGGATACTAGCAGGTCTTTAGCACTGTGGTGGATACTGCAGCCTCTGTTGCATCCCCATAGACCTCAATGTTACACCTGTGCTACAGCTTTCACAAAGATTGGATTATATGTGGATTTTAGTCTTCATTGTCATTACTTTATTTTTAAATCCATCCAAGTTTTACATTGTGAGCATTTAAACAAAATTGCCAAACAGAGGTTTTGTGCCAGGTGTTCCTGATATGTTGACGTTTTTGCATAGTACGCATCCTTCAAAGCCACTATTTCCATTTGAATCACCTTTGCTGTTTTTGTGTGGGTTTTTAATGCCTAATATTATTACATTGGGTAAAAGAAATAATATCCATGGTTTCCCTTAGTTTGCGTACAGCTGACAGGACTAGTGCTCCCATCAAGAATGAGTACATATCTGTGTCAGTGCTCATCCCTCTGGCAAGATCTCTCATCTCCCTCTGCTGTATCAGAAAAAGACGCACTACACGACCACCCCATGTCCTCCAGCCCCTGATGTCTCCGAGCCCCTTCGCCCTTTATCTCTGCTGTGCACTCTGGGTCTCCATGTCACTCCAGCAGTCTTAACCCCAGCCTCTGTCACTCACCCACTCTCCTTGTGTCCTTGCCTACAGCTTCCTGCCAAACTATATCAGTGGGGATTTTGATTCTATTACGGCGGAGGTGAAGGCTTTCTATGCAGACAAGGTAAGCTCAACAACAACAAGCTCTATGATATTCTTTGTTATTTGCAGTGTCCACAGACAAGACAGGAAATATTTGAAATCTCACGAAACCCAGGTGGTTAATTTAAAATGCCCGATTCTAAATCCTAAAACCCTCACAACAAAACTGGCTGTGTTTATTACAACTGGGAGCAATGATTTATTTATTTTGTGAACTTCTTCTACCAAATTAGGTTCAAACTTATTGGAATAATTTAAAACTGCTGTTTAAAGTACAACTTAATATCAAATAAAGGTTTCTATTTGTTAGATAATCCACATCTTCCCTGATAATGACCAACTACAATATGAAATCGGGGGTTGCATCCAGGTGTTATTGTATTCTGGTGATGCAGGATCTACTTTTTCATTAATGTACAGATGTTTTTGACATTAAAAGTAATATAATGGAGAGATTTTAGCCTCTGGGCAAAACCAAGGCAGTTCACCTATTGCATCTCTCACTACAACAAACATTTACATAGATCCATTTCGGACAGAACTGACTGGTGGATTTTCTCTCAGGTCACATATTTGATTATATCTCTTATACTGAATTAATATATTTATTTTAATTGAAGCATGAAATGTGAAGATATTTAACAGGGAGTAAACACCATTAGGTTCCTGCAGTAACGCTGAAATGGAGGGTCTAAAGCCGGGGATGATTCGGGACATTTAAGGCAAGGCAAGGCAAGGCAAGTTTATTTGTATAGGACAATTCATACACAAGGCAATTCAAAGTGCTGAACAAAACAAGAAAGCATTAAAATCATAAATAATCACAGTACATTAAAAAAAGATAAAAATATAAAATCCCTCAGTTGTATGCACAGCTAAACAGAACCGTCTTTAACCTGGTTTTAAACATTGTCAGAGAGGAGGCCTGTCTCACATCTTCAGGAAGACTGTTCCAGATTTTAGCAGCATGAATCTGAAAAGCAGCCTCCCCATGTTTAGTTCTGTCTCTGGGCACTAACTGGAGTCCAGTCCCTGTGCTCCTCAGAGTCCGGGCTGGTTCATATGGGACTAACATGTCACTAATATATTTTGGTGCGAGGCCATGGAGAGACTTGTACACAAGCAGAGCTGTTTTAAAGTAAGTAAGTAAGTAAGTAAGTTTTTATTTATATACCGCCTTTTCACTGCAGATCTGAGTCTCAAAGCGGTTTACAATTGTTAATTTTGGGCATTTGTCTCACTCCACACAGAGATGGGAGCGGGGTCGCCAGTACAGGAAGCGCATGCCAGAACTATTGGACATATTTTTAGTGGTAGGGGAAACCGGAGTACCCGGAGGAAACCTACGCAGACACGGGGAGAACATGCAAACTCCACTCAGAAAGGCCCTGGTCCGACCGGGATTCGAACCCAGGACCTTCTTGCTGAGAGGCGAGAGTGCTATCCACTCAGCCACCGTGCCGCATAGAATAGACCGTGAGAACAGTCTATTCTCTGAGCCACAGGAAGCCAGTGCAGAGACCTGAGGACCGGACTAATGTGGTCGTACTTCCTGGTTCTTGTCAGGACTCGAGCTGCTGCATTTTGAATGTACTGCAGCTGTTTTACAGCCTGTTTGGACAGACCTGTGAGCAGGCCATTGCAGTAGTCTAACCTACTGGAGACAAATGCATGGATAAGAATCTCCAAGTCTGCTTTAGACACTATGTTTTTGATCCTGGCAATGTTTTTTAGATGGTAAAAAGCTGCTGATGTTACTGATTTGATGTGGCTATTAAAATTTAAGTCTGAGTCCAGTATTACCCCTAGATTTCTGACCTTGTTTGAAGGTTTTAGGGAGAGAGACTGTAGGTGACAGATGACGCTCTCTCTTTATGGACTCATGTGTTTGTAATTATTTGATTTTATGTTTGATTCTTTTATTTGTTGTTGGCAAATTGCCTCCTCTGTGACAGGTGCTGTTGTGATTCTAAAATAGATTGAATTGAATGGAAAATGCATTTGCAGTTGTGCTTAGAAGTTTACACACCCAGCCAGAGAGGCCACTGTTGTGGGCATATTTTGTGAGTGGTTAAAACAAACACTTTATTTCAACTCATTGTTAGTGGTTTGGTGAAGTCAAAATAAATGTCAAATGAACATGTTTTCTTTTTTCAAATGATCATTTATAATCTCCAAAATATGGCCACAAAGATCAAAATGCCTGGGTGTGTAAGCTGTAAAGCACAACTGTATGTGTCTGAGATTGAGACCAGCCACATGTCGGCAGAAGTACCAGCTACTTTTTATTGTCCACAAAACAAGAGCAACTCTGACAACTTGATGTACTTGTACACATACACCACTTTTATCTTCTCAGTTTGAGTCTTTTGAAAACACCACACTTACTTTGCTGGAGCAACATGTTATAGGCTGACAAAGCTGATATCAAGCTGCCTAAGTTAGATAACTGACCAGCCAGAATAACTCAAGTTAAATGGCTTTCGCATTCGAGAGCCTTCAGAAGTTCCTCCTGCTGGGATAAGAACATGCTGCTGAACCAGCACACAGGCTGCAGAATGGGGCCGTCCATTTCACACTTGACACACTCCGTTTAAACTCACTCTGTCAAATCCTGCCTTTGGCCCAGTTCAATTACAATGTATTACTTTAGATTACCTTAGTAATTTGAAGAAGAAAGACAGTATTGTTTGCAAATGACAGCTTTTTCCTCACTCAGGCTAATACATGTTTTTAAATATATGGTAATGAGGATATTTATAATAAAATAGCAGGACTCTCTTGAATAATATTTTTTGCAGTACATATATTATAACCATATAGTTATTTACATTATTTACATTTTCTGAGACTAATCATTAAGCACACTACATTATCTTTTTCTTAAATGCCGTTGACCGTGTTCAACTGGTTCTCTCTTCTCATTCTTCTGATTTAGCCACTCAAATTTGCTTTGCAGAGTGATTCATACAACACATTTTATTTGAAGGTGCCATATATCTGTGACACATGCCAACTTCTATTTTATTTCTTTATTTCTTTACCCCTTGATATAATTACTCATCCCTGTAACAGACAAATGCTGTCTTTTTGTTAATGAGCCTTTTTAAAGCTGCACTAACTGACTTTATTTTCGTATTCATTACGAAAATGCTATCCATGTCCATGTAGTGCATTGGGATATACGTCCTTTTGAAGAATAATTAGCGCAGATTTGTGCTGGCGTGACATTATATTTTAGATCGAGTTTTGATGAAACAAGGAAGAGAATGTGTTTCGGGTCGCAGATTGTGACCAATCACAACGGACCACTGGCCCCCACTTTCGTGAGAAATCTACAGGTCCGTTAGCATAGACGGCTGAGTTAGCACAACAAGTGGCGGAGCTAACCTGAAGCTTCGTGTCTTCATCACCGGTTACTGCTTACTTAGCGAAACAGCCATCCAAAAGAAAGTCCAATTCCTCCGCGCTTCCCGGTTCTATTGTTTTATGGTCACGCCATCCACGTGCAAATCCATATTCATGTATTATCCATATTGGGAGACACTAGCTCCGTCCCAACAGTGGGTGTGTGTGGGGGGCGATAGCTTCGTGGGTGCGGGGAGGGGAGCAGAAAGAGCGAGGCCAGCGGGTCCACGGCTTCAAAATCCCAAAGTCAGTTAGTGCAGCTTTAAGTCACACATTTGTATGTGGAGGTGTTCCATTAGAATTATTCCTCATATAACTAGCATACTGGGGGTGTCTAAGGTATCATACACAGATGCTTTGTACAGCAATAGTTAATGAACACACACCGTTCCATTCAAAATAAATAAATCAAATATTTCTGCTTTTTCTCTGTTCTTTTTGCACTTTACTCGTATAATGCATTCTTGATCCCTAATGGAGGTTGCCTTTTTTTCCTAAGAACATAGTGTTATGATAATGACTTGGGAAGCAGAACAATGGAAAGTTTGAGGCGTTCCTTCTGAGATTTGACGGAAACGGTGCATAATTCTGCATAAGTGGTGAAAACACAGAAGCCATCCACCGGGGGCGAGGAGGAGGAGGATGAAGACGACGGATGGATGGAATCAAACGGAGCACAGCAGACAAGCGTGGACGGGCAGTGCTGCTGTGTGCGTGTTTCAAATGTGTGTGTCAATGGGGGGAAGAAAGTAAATGGTGACGGAGTGAAGAAAATCCGGAGCATTCTTGTTTACCTGGATTCTGTTGTCTAGATCCACGGACTGGAACCTCTACATTATTCAGTAACACAGCTCACAGATGCACAGAAAAACACATTTAAACTTCCAAAACAGTCTTTCAGGATGCCTCAATATATAAATACATGTGGATATTTCTGACAGTTTCACAGCTGATTTTTAGATGGAATCACTTTAGTAGAAGAACTAGTGAAGGGCCCCATCAACTTATGACAAAACTGAATATAAAATAAGGATGTTCAATTACAAAAGTTCAATTGAGTTTTAAATTATTTCTCTAATCAATAAATAAGTAAAGTGCTGATTAATGCTTGCTCTGACCAATAAAACATGGGACAAAGCCACTTTTTCAATCTGCACTTATCTCTCAACATTGCAATTACTAGTTAAAGTATGGGTACCTTTTTATTTTGTAATGCATGAGGTTTGTCCCAAGAAAAGTCTCATTATGGATTGAGCAAACCAGACCGCAACATGCTGTCTTCTTTTTATTAGAAAACATGTTATCTTTTAATTTGCATTAAAATAGCTCTCAGGCCAATGCTGAGGCCAAAGGTAGTCTTGCACAGTTTTTGAAGATGTGGTTTTTTACTGCAAATGACAAACACAATCTTGAAGCTTGAAAAAATACATGCGTTTTAAAACTAATGATGGAACCAAACTGTTTTGATAACCAGGAACCTAGCCACATGGGTGTTCTAATCACTTGATCTTCAAATCTGTTTCTAATCTAACCTGTCTGGCAAATTGACGATTTAGTTAAGTCCTTTTGAGGCGACTGCTGTTGTGAGTTAGGGCTACACAAACATAAATAGAATATAATAAAATATTTATCATATTGTGTTTGTCCTGTGTGTTTACAGGGATGCAAGCTTATGGAAACTGCTGACCAAGATTTCACAGATTTCACCAAATGTTTGTCAATCATGTTGGGACAGATTCAGCAGCAGCAGTTGCAGGTAAACAGGCACCATTATTTCTGCATAACTTAAGCCTCAGTTGTACGCACTGACTAGAGCTCCATGCAGCACCGAAAAAAATACATATTAAAGCTTATTTTCCCCTTGCGTTTGAGAGTTTGAGAGCGAATGCCCGTAAGCAAAGCATTTGGTTGTCAGATAAACTGAGCCTCGATAAAGGTCAATAGAGTTGGACTTTGTAGATCCCAGGTGGATGCTTGTGTGGGTGTGCATATGCAGAAAAAGGCGCTTCTGGTAAAACAATAAAAACACACATCCCCTTAAGAAATGTAAAAACGATGTCCTCTTTACCGCCCACACACATAACACAACCTCTAACTTTTTACCCACTCTTCACAGGCATTATGTAATTAGCTGTGATCCATTTTAAGCTAAAAAATGTTCTAAAACCATGAAATAGGAAATACAAACATAGTTAATGCACCATTTCAAATCCTTACATTAAGCCAGCATCGCAACAATCTGTGTTGAACTTGAAGATCGACTCTTTCTTCATTTCTTACTAACACAATGTCTGCTTCAGTTTATTGAGACAGAAAAGATCTATTACGGTGGTATTCATCCTTTCTCACCCAGAGAATTTTTGTAAACACATCTTGAATCCGCTAATTGCTGCAAATAGTGGAGTTGATAGGGCTTTGCATGGAATGTCTAAACACATTGATGAAATTATGACGTATGAAAAACGTCCATAGAGGTACAGTATGTTGGCGAAAACATTAACCACTTTGTATTGTCAGAATGATATTTTTTCTGTCCATTGGCCTTTAGTATTTGGCTTCTGTAAATCTTTAAGGTTCTCTTTGGATAATTCTACTACTGTATGTCTGATATCACTTTCCAAAACTCTCTATTATCTTCTTTTACCATATCTTTTATGCAACATTGTTGAGTTTGAAATTGTTGTTCTCTGTTTCAATAGTCATATTTTAAGTTAATATTTGTAGTACTAATAGTAAAGTATAGCTCAACTCTATTCTTAGATAAAAGAAGGAAATTCAACATTGATCCAGGTTTTTTTGGAAGTTCCAATGTGCAGCTAGAGCCTTTTTAATCAGACATTTTAGTATGTTAAGAGTTTAGCATTGTATCTGTGAATCGCCGTATCCTCTTCCCCCTTTTTTATTCTCACAATTATTAGACTTCCCGAGCGTGCCGAGTGTTGCTCCAATCAGCGCTGAGTGCCCCAATCACTTGAATCACACATCTCAACGGTTGATGAAAGAAGATGCTCGGAGACACACAAATACGCACTTTATTTTGTCCGTCGCCAGATTAGCTCATTTTACTGTGTTTCCGCGTTATCCACACTTTGTCATGGCTTTCATCCCCACCTGACTAATATTTGCTCTGTTTGAATAGAAGCTCCATCTCTCCTCTGTCTGCATGTGACAGATACGAGCTCAACTTTGACGTGTTATTGCAAATCTCAAAGTATAGGGATTTTTTTTCTATAGCTTTTCCAACTTTTTGACCTGGCATATCCCTCAACTTCTCTTAATCTCTTGCATGGGAAACTTTTGATTACTGGAAACCTTGCCATCTCTTTTATGTTTTTCCTTTTGTCATTTCCTTTTAGAATGAAGCAGAAAGAGCACTGAAATAATACATGGGTGATTTGCAGATTTGCTTCTCTTTGTGCCGTGCAGGCTGTTTAACATTCATCATATTAGTCCTTGAATGTTCCTTCACACAGCTTAGCTCTTGATTTGGGGGAATTTATCTCTGTTTGTTGGTTTAAATCCCAAAGAACAGCTTGGGAGGATTAGAGGGGGCGTCTGGTCGCTTATTTGTGTACGTTTATGAAAATGTATGTATTTTCCCGTGCACTTTTTGTTATATTTACGTCATGCTTTTGTGCATTCTTTATCATTGTTTGTTTACCGTCGGTTCCTGCTCTGCCCTAGTTAGCAAGTGTTGCGCACAGTTTTCATTTTGTCCTTCCTTTGTTATCTGCTCATCAGGTTCAATAATAGGACCCAGGCTTTGGTAGTGCGGCCTCAGATCCAACAATGCTCCCTTGGCCGATCCCAAACCAGGCTGTAGAACACATCACATAGAGCCAGCTTGTTAACATTTTTTGAATCCAACCACACAATTTCCTATGCTCAGCTTATTTATAAAGCAAATAAGGTTTATTAAAAATGCAGATATATCTATACACATGCTTACTGAAATGTCAATGCACCAGCAATAATAAATGCAATTCTGTGTCATTCACACACTTCGGCTAGTGTTTGTCGCTCTTATAGAAGCCATAGACGCAGATTGACAGCCACTTCTCCAATTGGTTTTCTGCATAACTTTTTATTCATTTATATCCACTTTATTCATTTCAAACATATGAAGTACATACATCTATTAAGAATAAATAATATACTATTTACAAAAATAAGATACCGGCACAAACACTCTCTGACCCTACACCTCCCTTCCATCACCTGGTCTGTAATACAGTATGACAAAATGAGCAATTGTAATGACAGTGTCCAAAATCAAAGCTAAGTAGTGCTCAATTATTATTGTTTTCAAGTTGCATAAGGCCCACTACTTTGTGCTTTGAGTTTTATTAGAGATGATTAGGCTACAAAGCAACAAGGCTACAATTAAAATTGGGGTGCAGCACGACTTTGGAACAAATTTGCCGTACCCACAGCCATTACATGCCGTTCTTTTATAGGAGTTTTTATTTCATTTTTTGAGGGAACTTGTTGAGACTTTGAATCTGACACGTAATCTGCCGTCTCTTATTTGTTCTTTTGATTTTGTCTTCTCAATTTCGTCTTCAAACTCATTGTAGCGTAGAGTTTTTGTGGCACACATTTCCACTCAGAGCACATGTGGTTGGAAGATATGACAAGGATTATAGCTCTCCCAGAGGCTCCTTAGCTTTAGGCTGTAACCTATAGAGATGATGTAGAGATGGGATAAGAAGGGTTATATTTGCATGTAGATGGAAATGTTGTGTCACAAATTCATTCCATGCTCCGTAAAGAACAGATCTTTTTGAGCTGTACGTGAGGCGTCATTGAGTATCCAAAAAAGCTCTATATAAAATCAATTCATTATTACTTGACACAGTTGTTCACAGCAAGAAGATTCCACCTCTATGTCTTTCTGTGTGGATTATGTTATCGCAGTGTTTGTTGGTTTTCCTCCGTGTGCTCTGGTTTCTCCTACCACCGAGAAAAAACATGAACAATCGGTCTGAATGTAATCTGTGAGTGAACGAATGTAGATGGCCAGGGGCTTCGATGCATCAGTGTGTTCGTCGTCTCACTGTGATCATGTGAACAAGACACCAAAGCACATGGTAAAAGCTGTAAAGCACTTAAGTTTGTTATATATATTTTTAATACCTTGAAATCTTGCACTATGTTAGCTCACCTCGTAGCAAAAGAAGGTGGTGGATCCTAAAGCAGTAAATTAGATTTATCACATCATAAAGATAATCTCATACTGTTTATCATATTTCTACGTCTTTTATTCACTCTCACTGTCAGATGGAATGGGTTTATGTGATGACAAAAGACATAGCTGTCTATGGGTCCAGAATCATAATGAATTATAGTGATGGACATGTTGTTTTTAATGTTGCAGAGGGCGTGTCCAAATGGACAAATGTAGATGCAGCTCACAGGTGGATTGATTAGTAAACATCCAAATGGAGCTTTTGACACTGACTGAGGGTTCTTTGGTAAACAATATGTTTGAAGTGACATTGTTTTTGTTGCATTCAAAATGACTGTGAAAACACTGAGACACTTGATTTATGGATGTAAATCGTTGGTTTAAACCAGTGGTATCACACCCTTGAGCATTAGTATAATATTTAAGAACAAATAAAGCTACAAATTTCTTTTCGAGTGACTAAGCTGTGACTGGACTGTCAGCCGGAACCATATTTATCATTTTCACACACAATACACAAGTAAAGAAGTTGAAAACATAGGCCCGAAAATTTTTCTCAATGTTTCATTTCTTTTAACAAACAAAATAATTTCCACACGCCATCTTCTTTGTTTCTTCTACTGAGGAAAGTGCGCAGGACGCCCTCTACCATTATCTTTTTGCACGGGCCTACCATCGACAAATGTAATTTTCATTTTCCAATGGCCAATGGTAGTTAACAAAGCAAACACCGCCCGATACCGATGTTCAGCCGCTGCATCGGTACATCTCTTCTTTTAAGCCCTACAAGGGATGTTTTACAAAAAATGCATTGACTCATTTTGTTTGTACTGTACCTTGGACTGGGGTGCCTATTTAAATTGAGGTACCGTTGTCCACATATATTTAGTTATAGGTAATTTAATAAGTCATTAATCTTGATTTACTTTATCTGGCCTTTCACAGACCAGAGTCACAAAGCCCTTTACACTTTTTTGGCCTTTTGTCTCTCACTCCACACAGAGATGGGAGCAGGGTCGCCATACAGGAGGCGCATGCCCAACATATTGTACATGTTTACAGCGGTAAGGGAAACCGGAGCACCTGAGACCTAGAGGTAGAAGTGAACCCAGGACCTTCTTGTTGTGAAGCACAAGCGCTAACCACTGTGCCACCATGCCGCTCCATTATGTACAGTACATTTCAAGTTAATTCAAACATAAATATGATTACTTTCCCTACATTTCTTTAGCTGTTTTTGTTCCCTTAACCTCTTTGTCGGATCAATGTCAGTGCAAATTTCTGCTGTCCCAAGTGGCTCCATGTTGTTTTTCCTAATTTGTCAGCCGTCTGCATTCGAGTAGAGAGAGTGTGTGTGAGTGATTGATGATATTTTTGGTGCCATTGTGATGTGGCCACTCTGACAGGTCCTTTGCCCTCCACAATCTAGGGGTTTTAGTGTTGTCAGTGCCACTCCTCCGCTGTTGGCTCACTCGCTGCAAAATTCCGAGATGTGTGAAGGCCTTGTGATTAACCAAACTGCAGTGGTCCCAGAATACAGAGTGGCTTTGATGAACTTCGCTTTATATTAGTTGAAGACAGAATAATCCTGTTCTTTCCTAAAGCAGCACAAGTTAGAAGTCAACAGTGCCACAAAGCAATGGCTTTTCCCCTGGCTATACTTATATGACCAAATGACTTGCGTTTTAAATTACATCCGTCTAATGACGCCGGAGTTGTAAAATATACTTCCATTTTGTTTTATTTGAAACCTTTGATATCTTTTTATAATATTATCTTGTTATCTAGGTTGATGCCATTGTGACTCTGGGAGGCCTGGCCGGAAGATTGGACCAAACCATGGCTTCTATAGAGACTTTGCATCACGCCCTTAACATGACTACTCTCCCTGTCATCATTATACAAGAAACAAGTCTGGCTATGCTGCTCAGACCCGTGAGTAATTCTCAATAATACCAGCTTCTTTTCAATTTTTCCCAAATGCACCCGTCAAAATATATTAACCCCAAGCAACAGTATTATTATTTGCTATTTCCTGAAAACCGCTCTGTTCCTGTGCACTCGTGTTTTTCATTTTCTGCGATTATACCTTTAATACTCTGTGGCTATGTTTGTGCCGGACACAAGCTTCTTCTTAATGGTAGCATGTGGGGGAGCCAATTTCTTTTGATTCGTCCAATTTTAGCTAGTCTCAGCATTGGCTGCTTCCTAACACGCCTCACTTGATTTGGCGCACAAGTGCAGAGAGCAGCAACCTCTCAAGACAGGGCAGTCTCATAGCATCCGGTTCATTTAGTGTTTCTTTGGTGTTTATTTGACGGATTTGAAGAACAAAATTCTTTCTGTGGCAGCTTCCACACCAACTATTATGTTTGGCGTATTACCTGCGTAGTCATCACCCAAATGAATGTTTGGAATTAGAACAACAAACCTAGATAGACCTAGAAGATTTTTTTTTACCAGAATGTGGCTTCTCTCCCAAAACATACAGATGGTGGTTCCGACCAATCTGAGCTCAAGATCTGGAGGTGGGTCCCAGTGGATTAGATGGGCCACATACAAAGAACAATTTTAATTTACACATCCAGAATTTCTCCTACCGGGATCAATAAAGTATCCTTTACTATCTATCTATCTACGCTATCTCTCGGTCTGTCTTTATGTCTGTCTGTTGTATCGCAACACTGGTTGTATTTTACTAAGCAATGGCTTTGATTCCATTGTTTCATCTCAATCCACATGCATTTTGTCACCTCTTTGTCTCCAAGGAGAGTGTCAAGTCCACTTTCAAGGTAAAGCATATCAATGGAAACACGTGCATCTTTACGCAGCACCAAAACTATGCTGCATTTGCTCAGACGGATAATGTAGCAGTTCTTCTTCTTGAGACCCACGTTTCAATATTTGTAAAACACAAATCCATTACGATCGTTTTATCTCCCGACCCATCAAGCCCCACTTGTAGCACTTAAAGTAAACCTCTCTATCTGTACCTATGTCTTGTCATTATTCAGACGGCGTGCTCGTCATTTACTGCTTCATACTTCGACACCTTCAATTAATCTTACTTGAGTGCAGGTAAATTAAGCTCGTTTGTCAGCGCGCTTCTAATTCACCAGCGTCAGATGTAGGCGCACGACAGTACATGAAGGTGACTGCAACCTTCCCGAGGCCCACCGCTATTTGTCCCAGTTACATGTGTAATTGAAGTGTTTACAACTTCTGCCAAATCTCTTCACCTCCGCTATTCTGCGCAATTACGACTCAGTTACGTGGGCAGCCCCAGGATTTGGGGTGGTGCGCATCACATACACAATGGTATAGATTTTTCCAAATTTAAGGACAAATCACACTAATGATAAACAGGCGAAAGAGGTGTTTTTTATATTTTGTTTCAATTTGAATTGGATGGTTCATTGGTCTGTGGTTTCTTAGTCGACCAAATAATGTATTACATATTAAAAAAAAATCTCTTATTACAAGAATTCATTTGTAAAAACAAGATATGGAGACAATAGAAGTGGAGGATTTTGGTTCCTTTGGTATTCAATTCAGATAAATATTTTATTTCACATATTTACCAGTAATGCCTATTAATTGTTTTACATGTAATTGATTTATGCCGAAAAAACCCCAAACAGTTAAATTAATTTCAACTTTTCTGAATATACTGTAGGTTAGTTCAGACTATGCACTTCTTTTTGGAGCTATTACCACACTCCTTTTATTGTCGATTTATCGATTGATAAAGCATGTGTACAATCCTCTAATTCATTATTATTACTATTATTGTTGTGTTCACAGTTTTAGAGCAATTGCAGAACAATTTTTTGGCGATTAACAGATTACGTGGTTTGGAAGAATCAGAGAAAGCTATTAAAATTTATGGTGGGTTTTATAGGAATTACAGAGCATTTACGATATTTAGCCACTCAGCCGTTGATGTAACAATTTGCAATAATGCCCTAACAATAGACTTCATCCAATACATGTGATTTCTTTTTCTTTTTCTTTTGCGTTTGTATGAGACTTTCAGATATTTCTGCAAATGAAGATGTGTCCACGGCATTTAGGCAAAGTGACACTCATATCCTCTATAACACATCCCTGCACAGCTTCATTAAACCTGCTTATTTTAGGAAATGAGCTTTTTGCTTTCACACAGGAGACATGTCCCTGACTTAATCAGGGTTGTGGCTGTTTGTTTTTAGCACCAGCACGTCCCAGATGAAGTGTCAAAGTGCCACTGTGCTATTGGGGAGGGTAAACCACGTGCTCCATGTGCGTTCTTTACCTGTGCTTCCAGCTCTGCATAATTCTCTCTTATTAAATTATGGGTGGGGACATAGTTAGCGGCTGTAGACTTGTTTATATCCAATCCCAGCATAACACCGGGATGTTTTAATCAACCGCATCCCAAGGTGACGCTAAATTTACACAATTTGAGGAGAAATATAAAGCCAGGAGACAGTGCAAGCCGGCTTAATCTTTTTGTTTATTGCCGTCTGTGTTGCTGATTCACGATGCCAGTCTGGGCCTCTCTTGACACTTGCACACGTCTCCTCCTCTGTGAGACAATGCACAGCGCTGCGTCAGCCCTATCCTCAGCTATATATCAGGAAGCAAATGCGCAGGCTTTATGAGCTTGTTTACCTGATTCCCACTTGAAGCCTGTCAGGGAACAATGTGATTTAGGGTGAAGAGTGAATGAGACGCCAGAGAAAGGAAATGTTAAGGTTTCATTGTAAAAAAAAAAAAAAAAAAAAAAGAGGAAATGTTGACCGAGTTGAGGGTAAAATGTGAATTGTGAGGTTCAGTTAAATCCATCTAACTCGCTCCTTGCTCTCAACAGTTCTGTCACTAGTTTTGACATGCATGTATTATTGGCCTCTGTCATCTGTAAATATACTTTTTTCAGAAAAGTGAAAAAGAGAGGACCACCCTCACTCAGCCAATCAGTCCAACTCACAGGGATCTTTCTAACAACTATGCGAAAAATACAACCATCCATCCAGCCATATTCTTCCCCTTCCATTTCTGGATCGGGCAGGTGGCCGTCAGAACTGCACCCAATCCACATAGCACCAGAGCATCAGCCTCTCACTGATCCTTCCGCAGGTGGTGAGTCCACAGGAGGATGGCTGCTCTGTTAGAGAGAGCATAGCCTTGATCTTTCAGCGGGGGCTTCAGGCAAAGTGGGGCTAACACTCTTGCCCAAGGACACAATGACAGCAGACATCAGTGGGAGTCTGGTGTAAAATATACTAATACTAAAAGATGGCATTTCGTGATCTGATTTCTTTTACACAAAATTTCTTTAACAAGACTTTTACTGTTGGGACAAACATGTATCAATATAGTTAGGTACCCCAGCTTTAAATTATGTAAAATTATGTCTATGTTGTTTTTACCCATCTTTATTTTGGCAGTCAACAATAAAATGGTATACTTTGATGCTCTGTGCGCAGACAAACGGCAGCAGTGCAAAGATGAAAAGCACAAGACTATTATGTTGATATTGTTCTCTGTTCGCCTCTGTCAGTCGCTTTGGTTATGTTGAATCTGAATTGCTAAACTTAAATGGTAGCGTTCCCCCGTGTTTGAACTTGTGCTGGTGAAGTTATGATTCAGTCAAACAATGCAAGCTATTTTCCAGCTCGTCTGGAGAGGTCTGTCCATAGCGACACTAGCATCGTTTACCCTTTTTACTTAGGACTATCTATTTAATGGACAAAAATTATGCACAATATTTCTTCTATAAGTAGTTTGCTTTTTGCTTTGCCTTTGGCTTTTATTTCCTCTTTCTTCCCTGCTAGACTTTCCTTTTTCACAGCTGCTCTCACATAAAGAGCCTGGTTTATGTATAGAAAACAACCTGGGGTTATTTCCTCAACAGCACAGACTCTAAAGCCTCTGACTCTCCCCACCGTCGCCCCCTGTAGCTCTGCCCGGCAAAGACACACGGCTCAAAGCTGCCACACTTAAAAGACCCCATAGCACTAGCCTGCCTATGTGTGTGCAAAATGACCTTTTATTTAGCGGTTTTATAAACAATTAAAGGTGAGGTACCTAATTTTGAAGTCACAACAAATGGCACTATGTTTTACAATCCATCAGACTAGTTCCTTGCCCTCAAACACTTTCACAAGCATGTATTGTTGGCCTCTGAAATATCTTTAGATCTGCAGACAGAAAAGTTAGTATGTGTAGTATGAATAGTATGCAAAAAAAAAGATTACAACATGTTATTATTACAGGGAATTTACTCAGTAGGCGTTAACAGCGCGTAAGCGTTGACTGCGCGTATACAGTATGCGCGTAATTTTTTTTTGCAGTATCTACACTGGCAGTGCACGCAGGTCTGTCTATGGAGCAGTGTAGAGGACAGTATGGGCCAGAGGACTGATGAGAGAATCACTGTAAAACCTGCTGCTCCTCCTGCTAATGTTTATATACAAGTCATGTGTGTGTGCAGATGCAATCTAGAGCCAAGGACTGCTAGAAAAATCATGTTTAACATGAGATTTCAATGGGAGACGCATTGCTGCGCGAACACAATTTGAAATCAATCCTAAATTAGAGCGCAGCCCCGCGTCATACGTCCGTCATACGCGCGTATGACAATAGTAGTGTAAATATCCTCATTGGTTAACATGGGAAAAAGTTACGCGCGTCTGCTGCTCGTATAACGCGTGTACACGTGCTGTAACGCGTGATGTGTAAATTAGCAGTTTGATTATTATTAGTTATCTAAACTAAACTACATGTCATTTTAAGGAGGAAAAGAAAATTGCTTTTATTCTGCATTCCTATGAAACCCATTATGTGCCTTTGTAAAAGTGTTTTGAATATTCAATAATGTAGCAGTTGCACATACAACCATTGCATGCCAAAACATTTGTATTTTAAAATGTTGTTTTTAGATATTTTAGTGTAGTCCAGAGAAAAAATGTTGTTTGCAAAGTTCTTCCTACAAACTTCAAATTGTATTCCAGTTCCAGCAGTTTTCACCTTTGTATTATGGCTGCATTTAGTTTATATTGACCCACTGTATTGAGTGCAGAGCTATTAATGAGCCTGTGGAGCCTGACACTGCTTTACACCTTTACTATGTATAACGCACCTGTTTTTCCCCCGCCTCGCTCCTCTAAGGGATGCCATGGCATTTCGAAAACCTGTTCATGTTTATTTTCTCTGTAGTGCTTCTCACAACATCTGCTTTGTACGTCAGACACAGCGGAGACGATTTTTTGACACTTGTTTAAAATGTCCCTGCGCATCTATAGTTACTTTATAGGCTCTTAAAATACATTATTTACACAGCTCACCGATACTGAGGGAAACCACTGCTCCTACACTTAACAGGATGTCAGTACAAAACTCTTTTGACTTTCACTTTGTGTAAAAATAGAAGATGATTCAAAATGGTGAGGCGTGCTATTTAACTCTGCGGGACCCGGGAAAAGGTGGCAGTTCTGCAACAGCAATGAGTCAATGCATCGAGTCTCCTGATGGACAATTGGAGATGTTCAGCTGGGAGGATTGTGGACATTTTAAAGTTATGAAATTCACTGGATTTTTAGTGTTTTTTTCCACAGTGTACTCCAGAGTAGGACAAAATATAAGGTCATATTTTTGAATCGTTTTGCAAACAGTTGGAATTTGTTTCTCATTAAGATTAATTAATTTTAATTTTCTTGTCTCTTTTAAAACCATACATTTTGACTGCACGTTTTTGCAGTTTATACATTTCACTTATATTGTCTTCATTCCGCAAACAACCGAAAACTTTAATGATAGCTGATGTCCCAAATTAACCACCTACACTTTAATTAGGCTGATATTTTTTAAGTAACAAGTTGAATTATGGATTAATTAAATATTCTTGTAAGAAGGCAAGTGAAAAACACTTTTTAAATAGAAAAATTATCATAAATGTTGAGATTACAGATTCAACTGTCAACTGTGCTGGGTCATACGAAAAGGTATAGCATAATGTTATCTGTACAGGTATTTCAGTATTGTCTGAGTCCTATTTGTGTCAGCAGGGCAGCCACACACTGGAGGTGAACACTGGGCTGGAGGGAGAGTGGTGCAGCTTAATTCCAGTTGGAGGTCCGTGCCAAACCTGCACCAGCGGACTCAAGTGGAACCTTGGTGAGTCCAAACTACTCTCAAATAACACTGTCATATTGGGAGAAACTGTGGCTGATGACATAGTTTGTAAGGTGACACACACTGACACACTATGGCAACATCTGCAACATGCCCCAATGCAATTTACATTCTGTACATCCGGGGGGTAAATATGAATTTTGCGAATCTGTCACAGTGTTTGTTTTTGGCTGATGATAAATTGCCTTTGTAATTACCTCAATAAAGTCACTAACCTTGGGCTGGAAATTTGTTAGCAGTACTTTTGCAGTATTTGAAGTATTTGAACAAAACAAGACCCACTATCATCACTTTCCGTAGCTCTTTCCATGCATCAAACTCTCGTCCCTTCGCTTGAACATTGTGTGAATTTCTTCCCCTTGTCCCCCGCGGTGTGTGTCTGCTCCCAGCTTGATGACCAGCTGTGTACTTAATGAGTTGGCTTGGACCGCGGTGGCACCCGTACGAGGGGAACCTGGACCTTCTGTCAGCGAGAGTGCGTAATGCGGCCGCCTCTCTGTGTCTCCTATACGCTCTAGTGCGCACACTTGTTCTGCCCTTGTTTGAACATAGCGATATGCATGTCTCCAAACCAGTGTGTGTGTGTGTGCGCGTGTGTGTGCATGTGTGTGTGTATGTGCGCGTGCATGTATGCGCTCTTGTTTTGATGAGCTCCGGCTTGTATTTACTCAGCACACCTGTGAGCCGCCTCTCCTGAATTGCAATAAGAGAGAGTTTTATGAAAGTCCTATGCAGATTATTCCACGATAACAAGACACATAATTAATCGCATGCATATGTAGGAGGTGCAGAGCAGTGATTTCCCTATGGACAAGTGAACAGGGACCTGGACTAACATTTTGGAATATATGGGACAATTCTGGGTTGAGCCAGGACAGCTGTGAGGGAGCGAAGTGGCCTCCTTTATTTACAATTTACAGCTTTAAGTTAAAACAATAAGGATTCTATTCTACTTGGTTGCTGTGTTTTTCTTTATTATCACAAAACAAAGTCAGGCAGCCTTATATTTATCATTTGTGGCACATCCTATAGTGGCATTGATGATGGGTCAAATACAGAAGGAGCATTGTTCCTATGGGGAAAATAAAGTTTATGACCTTACTGAATACGTTATGTAAAACAAATCATGAATAACTGATAATTGATCAAAACTATTCAAACTTTATAACATTTTCCTTTAGTAGAGTCCTTTCTTAGAAGTAATAGTTGCAGTAGGCACTTGTCAGTTATTTAAAATGCTGTATTTCTTCTGGAATAAATTATATTTTGAACTAACAGTTCTTTTACTTGAAAATGTCCCCTCCAAATTAGTCTGCCGGCTGCTGTTTGAAGCTATCTTGAATTTGTCACCCGGTCCATTTTTTCTCTCTTTCAAAGCCAAAAAGCAGCTTTATTAAGAAAACAGAAAACTAGCACAGTTGATGCTGGAATAAAGTAACACAAAAAAACCAACAAAGTGTCCCAAAAACAAGTTGCTTTGATGATGTCGTTAATAGAACTTCAGACATTGTAAATAATTCATTGGACACTGAGACCTGCTTATCAGTGCCCGCACGTCTGACAAAATCTCATTTAAAAGTTGCCACTAGTGAAGTATCAAATGGACCCATTCTGACTGTGTTTTCTCTTGTTAGAAATTGTAGGAAAAGATCAAAGAACCATCTATTTCAAAAAAGAGAAAAGGAATGAGGGGAAATAACACAAAAGTTTTGCTGTGGAATCTGCACTAAGGACGACTAAAGCAGCACATAAACATCAGTAAATGTTATTTCCTTATTTTCTTTTACGCAGTTTAATAAAGAACACATTCATAAAACTAGAACACTCTGAATCATAAATAGAAAAGTATGGCGCGCTGTGTGGTACACGGTGAAAAGTCTTTCAAAACTCAATCGGTGCAAGGTCAAAAAAAGGCACTTATGTCATGTCTTTCTGGGTCCGAAAACCTGATGTAAAAACATTCCCCTTTTCCCTTTGTTTTTCCCTTTTTCTGATGAGAAATGCCAGATCTCTTCAGTCATTGGACACTGACTGAAATCCTTCATGTTGAATAGATCACGTTTAAATTTTACTTCTAACATTTGTTTTATTGCTTTTTAGTTTTGTTAAGGAGAAGCTATGAAACAATCCACTTCAGTCATGATTACTTTAAGCATGTTGGTTTTACAGTCATTAGTATAGTTCCTGAATATTTCATGAAATCTAAATGGAAGTTTATTGTTAGTACAGTAGTAAGTATCTAATAATAGAGTGGTTCGCTTTTTCAGTCTCCTCATGAAATAGGAATGCATGATATTCATTGTTTTTGTGATGACATGTCATTGGGAAAATGTAATGTGCTCTGGAACATTCATGCAAAACATCCCACATGCACAAGGAAATGGTATAAATGTATTGCAACTGAAGAACAGACAATCTTTTTACGTTGCTTTCACCTAACGCTTTTTTTTTTTTTTTTTATTTATTTGTTTATTTGACAGGGACAGTACAAGAAAACATTGCCAGCTCAGTGGCCGATGTTATGTACATAAGGCGTCTAGCCATAGGCTAATTTGCAGCCCCCGTCCCTGGTTAGGCTTTTCAAAGGGGTTTAAAACAGAACAGAAAGATGAAAAATCAGTAAAAGGCATCAAACAATACAACAATAAAAAGAAAGAGGAGAAGACATATCTGACCACTTCCCATCCCAAGTCCAGCCAAACTGTTCAGTCCTCACACTTTTGTTTGTTCTTTAGCCACAGCTTCAGCTTTTGTGAGAAAAGTCTCCGGTCCATTTGGGACTTTAGCTCCAGTGGCAAAGAGTTCCATAAGTTATAACTGTGTCCCTTTTACTGAGAACGCAGTAAAAGGGACAATTATCAGTGGCAAAGAGTTCCATAACTGTGTAACAATTATCAAATCCTCTTGTCAATTAACAGGGGTCCCTGATGTCAGAATATTTAAGGATGTTTTTGAATCATAAGAAATGTTTGGGAGCACAGTAACGTGTGGATGTCCTTTTGTGTTGATCTGAGAGAGAAGTGTCACTCAGTGAATGAAAGTGGAGCTGACCGAGGCTCTGGAGACTCTTTGTGGAGAAATGTGTCTAATGAAAGGACTGCAGTGCAGTAATGACACTAAACCAGAGCACTGTTCTACTAAATAATGAACACACTGCAGTGGAGCAGCTAACAATGTAGAGGCGCTCTCAACAGCATAGAAACACAAATTATGGTTCAAAATGACTACATTTTGTCATATTTAGCTCTTCCAGCTTCTTGGAGATGTTATTGCACTGCTTGAAATATTTAACATTATTACACGTGGTGTGACATCGCCATGGCGACACGCAAGTGACAAACCCTCTACTCTAATTAACAACATTGTTCCATTTTAAGTGTTTATTTGTTGCCACTTCTCGCAGTTCCAGTTTTTGATGTGGTGCACCTGCAGTGACTAATGCTCCACTTATTGTGGAAATGGACAAATGAGAGGTTCCTGTAGCCTGCGGGTGATGTCATGCACTGTTGAGATACGTGCATGATGTCTCCTGTTTTATTTTGTATGAGCTGTATAAGGTACAATCATGTAATCATCCCTTTTGTTCATGTGTTTATTTTAGTGCTGTCCAACAATTAAAATATTTAATCGCGATTAATCGCATGGATTTCATAGTTAACTCGCGATTAATCGCAAATTAGTCACACATTTGTATCTATTCTTTATGTCCCTTGAATTATCATTTTAATACTACTAAAAAGTGAATAGGCGTGCTGTGTGCAATTGCTTTTTTTAATATTTTGTAAATTTGTTCATGTAAATACTCTATGCTGTTTCTCTGTTTACTTTCGGTATATCTATGACTGTATACTGTTTGCTTGTATTGCCTTTTTTATTAACCCCTCCCCCCCATCTCCCGCTTCATGTCCCCCCCCCCCCCCTTCTGGGTTTCTTCTTTGGCCCCCTGTATCTCCAACTACATATTGTTTGTTTGTAATCTCTGTCTACAATGTATCTGAACTAGTCATTTTCTTTGTTTCTATTTTTTTCTGTATATGTGTTTGTCTGCAATAAAAAGTAAAAAAAAAAAATATATATATATATATATATATTTTTTTTTTAATCGCGCGATAAAAAAAATGACGCCGTTAATATTGATTTGCGTTAACGCGTTAATAACGCGATATTTTGGACAGCACTAGTTTATTTATTTCAAACAGGCATGAGATATACAAACAAGTCTTCTCAGAAAAAAATCATATTAAGAGTAAACAATAAAGTCTATGCATGGTTTGAAAAGGGATTTTTAATCCAATCCCCTCCCAGCCTTCAAGCACATACTAGTCCTAAATTTAGGTTTATATGATTTATTTACCCCCCTAATTCTGTATTTGTGTTGTGCCATGTTGTCTGTCATGGAACAAGTTTTGTAACTTAGGAGGCAGAGATTTGTGAGATGCCCTGAACTCTATGAGCAGTTTTAAAGTTGATCGAGTCCTGCAGCTTAAGTTCTTTTAGTTCTGTGAACAGTGAGTTGGTTTGATGATACTTTGCAAAGTAACCAAACGCTGTAACCGTTTCCCCAGACTTCAACATAATAATTTAAATATGACATTATAAATGATTAATACAGTAAAAGAAGAGCATTGGTGTTCGGTAAATGACAAGTTCTCCTCATCATTCCAACACACTAAATCCATTATAACTCCTAAAAATGTATTCTGTTGACGTTTTTCTATTAGAAGATCGTCAATAACAATTCTGACAATTTCTTTTACAATTGCTAAAAAAAAAATCTATTCATTGTCATTAAACCACATTTTCAATTTGTGAATCTTCACTGTTACCGTGACCACATCTGCAGTCACTTTAGGACCGTTTGAATTGTAAAAACACTGCATTTGAACAGTTTCTTCGGGTGATGTTTTTCCCACAAAATAATGTCTCTTGTAAAAGCTGCCCGTCTTGATATTCCCCCCGATCCTGTGTCTACACATCATTAG